ATCTCAGGGCTGAAACTCAGGAAGTAACCGATCTGGGAGTGACTTATTAAGAGACACGGGGACAGTTTCTTTCTTTTCTTCGAGACAGGGTTTCACTATGTAGCCCAGTCTGAACTCAAACTTGTGGTGCTCCATCCACGTCAGCCTCCTGAGCACTGGGATTGCAGGCACGGGCCACCATACTTGGCTTTGTGATGTTTTCACTGCTGTTGTTATTTTTCAGACAGGATCTCACTGTAACATGATCTCATGCTGGCTTTGAACTCGTTATATAGCCCAAACTGGCCTCAAACTCACAGAGGTCCTCCTGCTTCAGCCTCTTGGGTGCAGGGATTACAGGTGTGCACCACCCCTCAGCTGCCACCGGGATAACTTTCACCTAAGTATCAGAAGACACAGTGCAGACAGGACTTCCTTCTGGGTAGTTTAGCCTCTATTTCTACCTGGGCAAAACCCCACTTTCCCTTTATTTTACAGCAGGTGCACCCCAACGTCATTAGTACCTTATTACAAAGAAGGCAAAACAAAAAACAAAAAAACAACCCCGCAGGAATTAGTGAGCCATGGCGACTCTGCTGTCCAATGGGGTGCGTCCAGGTGGGTCAGCAAGCTGGATGGCACTGTCACTTATTGACCCAGCCACTTCCCAGTGCCCTACTGACCCTGCCCACTGGACCAATCACTGCCTCTGGCAGCAGGTAAATAAAGATCCACACCTCGTCACACCCTGCTTCTCAGGAAGCCACTATGGAGAAAGAGACATGGGGAGGTGAGCACACAGGGACTTAGGGAACCTCACACCCAGCAGAGAGTCAGAGGGCAGGTGACGCCCCCACCTCTCAGATCCCCCCAGGAGCAGACACCGCTGCTGGCTCAGATGTTGGCGGGTTGCGCCCACTGGGCGGGCACCCGTGGCCTCTCACCTCCAAGCTTGGAGACCAGAGTTCTACAGAGGTCACTGGAGTTAGGCACCCAGGCAAGACAGGAGGGGACCTGGGGCCAGGACTGGGCAGCACACAGGTCAGCTGCCAGGCAAGTTCTCTGCTGTTTGGGACCTGCTCACCACGCCCCATGAGGGCCGCTTCCCACTTCCCACTTCACCCCTAGCTCTGCTCAGCGCCCCCCCAGATCACCCAGCAGCTCCCTGTGTCCCCTCACTGTCTCCTAGCCATGTCAACTCCCTGGGCCAGCAGCCTGGGTGCTCTTTCTGACATCCCCCCCTCCCCCGCCCCATAGCTCCACCTGCCCTGGCCCTAAAATCTAAAGCAGCATGGGTTCAGGCTGTGTAAGGCTGCGAGTTTCTGAAGCCTGAGGCCCAGATGAAATCCCAGTTTCCAGGAAGAAACTTAGATATCTGGGGGTGGGGGTGGAGGTCCTAGGTCCTCAGGGAAGCACTAAAGCCTAGGGATTCTGGACCAGGGAGGGAAGTGGGCCATAGATAAACCCAGTCAGGCCCTGACCCCCCTCCTTCCTGCTGCTTGCCCCTGTGATTTGCATTTTCAATTCAAGTCAGAGATAGGGACCTGAGGACAATAGCAGAGATTTGGTCCACTTGGTTCACAGATCCAGGAGCCCTGAGATGCACTGGTGCTGATGGGGAATCAGGATTGTTTACAGCCTCTCCTTTCATAGCTGGGAAATCGAGGCAGGAGCAGGAGGGAGACTTGCCCAGGCGGAGAAGACAGGAGACACAGGAGACAGCAGGCACTGTCCCTGGCTGGGCCCCCTGCACAGAAGCCACCCATGCTGAGTCCTGACATTGTCACATTCCAGCTGGGAAAACTTCACCCAAACCAGATCCCACCTCTTCGGCCTTCCTTCTCCCCCAGAATCCCAGGGACTGTCCTGTCTTTGCCCACCCACAAAGCCTCCTTCCTGCAGCTGAACTGGGTCACCTGCAGGGGCAGAAGGGCCCATCCCCGGTTCCATTCAGATGTCAAGACAAGCCCCATGGTGTGTCATATGCCTGTAATGCTAGCACTCAGGAGGCTGAGGCAGGAGGGTCACCGTGAGTTCGAGGCCAACCTGAACTACACAGTGAGTTCAAGGTCAGCCTGAACTACACAGCATGACCCTGTCTCAAAAAAGAAATGGCTTAAAAATAGATATTAACATGAATGGCATCATGTGCACCCCAACAGGGTAGGACAATGTTTATTATTTACATAATCGTGGTTTCTGATGACAGCGGGACCAACCTCTCAAGTGGGTCCCAGTAAAGAGCCTGACCTGGTTGGGGCTGAGGGTTCAGGCCGGAAAGGGTTCCAGGCTCTTCTTCCCCCAGTTGCCTAAGGAGGCGTCCCCCATCCATCAGCTCATCCTGCTGTCAGTGCAGACCTTAGGGGAAGAGGAAGGAGCAGGCGTAAAAGCTGCCCGAAAACATCAGAAACTGCGTTTGGGTTCTTCGGGTCCCACGTTACTCCTGCGCACCTGTGTTGCAGATGTGTGTTTCCAGGGGAGTCCCCTCTCCAGGGGAAGAGTTAACCAAGAATTGGTCGACATGATAAAGCCATTAGTGAGCCGAGATGGGCTGTGGATGAGAAAGGAGGTCACTGCAAGGACCTCAGCTCCATGGCGTGAACTTGGGAGTTTTCTCCATCTCTCCAGTGCAAGCCCTTCCTGTCTCCAAGTCTAGTTCCACCCCAGCCATCTCCCCCAGACTGGGACACTCCTCACATTCCTAAGCCAGGCCCTCCTCCCAGCCCTTGCCCCACCTCTGCTCCCAAATTCCCTCTGGACCCTCCCCTAGACTGGAAAAGCCATCCCGCATCCCTTTCCTGCTCCCAGACCCTAGATCGGACGTGCTGGTGATTCCTGTTTGGGATGGCCAGAGAGATAAGGGCTGGCATGGAGCCCTCTGTCATCACAAGACTCACAGCTGTTTGGGGGGGAGGACAGAACATTTGTCCTGCACCACTGGTCCCCTGGCCGTCTCCCTGATTCCAAGAACAAGACAGAGGGTCCCAGGAGCAGCCAGGGAGCGAATGCTGCGGGCTGCACTTCTGTCTGGCTTCCTGTCCCATGACCCTGGCCTGTCTCCTAACCCTTGGTGGTCCTGGACCATAAGATGGACCGTAAGAGAGGCTGGGTAGCTCTGGACTCACTGCTCAGGCACAAATGCTGTCTTAAGGGCAGTCAAGGACAAGTATCCTCTCCCCCATACAACATCGAGAAAGCTATTATTGCAGCTGCTTCTGTTTGGGCCAGGCTGGGTCTGAACATCTGCCTGGAGTTTGTCTTTTAGACACAGCTGTGGTCAGCAGCTCCCAGTCCTAGCTCTGCCTCCCCTATGTTTGCTGGATGATCTGAAACACCCAGGTCACCTCCTGAGGCCTCATTCCCTCCTGAGGTGAATGCAGATGTTCATCTTAACCCAGGGTGGCTGAGAGGATATTTCTATCCTACATACAAAATGGTTCATAGTCTGTAAAGTCAGGTAGGGCCCCTTCCCAACCTCTAACTCTAATCCCTTCATTTTCGAGGGGAAGATGTAGAGACAGGGTCTCACTGTATAGTTCAGATTGAACTCACTATTTTGCCCAGGCTGGCCTCAAATTCCAAGGCATCCTCCTGCCTCAGCCTCCTGAGTGCTGGCGTCACAGGTGTGCACCATCACATCCAGTTTCTAATTTTGCACTCTTAATTCCCTACTCAAGAGAGTGCCAGGTTGTACAAGGTTCAGGTTCCACCAAATTTGGATCGGCCTTTCCTATTGTACAGAGGTTAATGATTAGCTTATCTGATTGAAGCAGGTCTGTAAGGCCAGATGACACAAGATTGCATCCCACCTGTGTGGCCTTCCCCAAGCTGCTTAATCTCCCTGAGTCTCCGTTTTCCTGTCTGAGATAACATCTCCACAATCCATTTGAAGATTTAACTTAATAATACGTCAAAACACTCAACATACCGTGCTTAATACATCATATTTCAGCATGTTCAGGACAAAATGGATCTTTACACAGCATTAAGGGAAATCTGGGTTAGATTCAAGAAAGTCCATGGTGACCTCTGGAAATTCCCTCGCACCACCTACTACATGCCTTTGGGGTTAGCGTCCCCACCCATCCAGCCTCCAAAAGCTCAGTGCGACCCGACGGGGCCCAAGCCACCCAGCCAGCGATGCGTTCCTCGGAGGGGCTCCCACACCGCCCACTTAGCCTTAGCCCCCAGAAGGCGTCCCCAAGCGGCAAATGCTTCTTGCTAATTACAGCTAGCGGTGTTTGGTTATTATAAGCGCTGACTGTCTCCCTGGCTTGGGTGAGAAGCCAGTTCCAGCTCAGAGCAACATGGGTGGGGGTGGGAAGGCAGGAGAAATAAATCTCGACCGAGACAGAGAAAAGACCGGGTGCGACCAAAAGAATGCCCAGAAACCTCCAGCCACTCTTAGGGGCTCAGCGCACTGGGAAGCGAGCGCAGCCTCCCTGCCAGCCCGCCACGCGCGCACTTCGGTCCCAGATGGCGCCCACGCGCGCCCCGCCCGACTGGCATTGCACGGCGAGGTGGCCGCGCCTGGAAGGGCTGCTCCAGCCGTCCGCAGCAGGGCGAACCCACAGATCCCGCCCCGCCACCCCGCCCCGTCCAATCCATCTGGCTCCGGAGGGGCCGCTTCCTAGGAGAAGCGAGGGCAGGGGACGGGAAATTCAAGCCTTTAGGGGCTCTGGACAGGTGTCTGAGGGAGAGGGCGGAGCCCGAGTGGGGAGGATGAGAAGGGAGGGGCGGTGCTGCCCCTTTAAGAGGCTGCGGCCAGCCGGGACCTTTTCTCTTTCCCCGGAAGGAAAGCGGAGCCCGCCCGGGCTGGGCTGGCAAGGTGGGGAGGTGCGGGGCAGGGCGTGGGGGGCGGGGCGCGCGCCGCGGGGGACCCCTCCCCGCTTGTCCGCCTTGCGGTCAACCCGCCCGCCAGCCGGGATCAGTCGCGCAGCCGGAATCGTGCAGCACGGCCAGGGGGGTGCGGCCGGGGCGAGCGGGGGCGCCGCGCGCCAGGACGCGGGGACGGCGACCCAGCTGCGGGACCAGAGGCGCAGGCCTCGGAGGAGGAGCTGAGGACGCGGCGCTGGGCGCACCTGAACGTGACCCGGACTGGGGCAAGCCACTGCCGGCTCTCGCGGCGCAGGGCGCGGCGGGCTCGGTCCTCCGCCGCGCGGGAGCAGGTGAACAGGTCCCGGCCCGATCATGGGGCCGAGTCCCAGCCGCGCGCCCTGTGCCCCGCGCCCCGCGCTCTGCGCGATCGCCTTTATGGTGGCGGCCTGCGGGCGCGTCGCCTCCGCTTTCAACCTGGACACCCGGTTCCTGGTGGTGAAGGAGGCCGAGAACCGGGGCAGCCTTTTCGGCTACTCGGTGGCCTTCCATCAGCAGACGGAGCGGCAGCAGCGCTACCTGTAAGTCCCGCCGGCGGGGGTGGGGAGGGGTCCGCTTGCGGGAGCTCAGATGCGGATCCCCAGCCGGGTCGGAGCCCCGGGCCCGCAGGCCCCGGCGAGCTGGGATAAAAGGGCGGGTACCTGCGAAGGCCTCCGGTTGCAGGGGCCCAAGCGAAGCGGAGACTGGTGTTTGGGGTGGCAGGGGGAGCGGTAATCACTGGCAAGTGCTGACCGGCCTGAACGCGTTAGACGCCGCCCTCCATCCTTTAGCCCTCTCTTAGGGACGAAAGTGGGGTTCCAGCAGTGGAAGCCCCTGTGAACCGAGTAGCTACCGTTAGCCTCTTCGCTGTGGGGCTGGGAGTCGGGAAAACTGCAGGACAAACACCGAGCTGCCCCCACCCCTCGCCAGAGAAGAACCGCGAACGCATGCATTTAGCACCCCCCCCCAACACCTCACACTGAGCCGGCGGCCACACCAGCCACGCCCTCTGGTGGGCTGTCTGGAGTGCTTAGCATTGCGTGGGGGAGCTGATGGGGAGCCTGGGTTTGGAGCTGTCCAGAGGCTCCTTCTGATTCCACAAGAAGGGGTCGAGAAAGCCAGCGGAGCAAGGCCTGGTGCACCCACCCCGCAGCGGCGTCCTTTCTCACCAGACATCTCCCTGCGTTCCACAGATGCATACTGGATGGGCAGCGCTGAGTGTGTTTGTTTTGGTTTGAAGAGGGAAATGGTGTTTATCTCTTTCTTCGCCTTCCTAACAGCTGCAAGGAGGAGCAGGAAAAGCCAGGCTGAGGGGAGGGAGGGGAGGAGGCTGCCTGTGCTCTGTCCACCATGCACACTCAGGTCCAGAGGGACCTGTCCAGCTTTCCTGTGTGGACTCTAGTGTACTGGGGTCAGCCTTTGGGAGAGGATCTCACCTGGAGGAGGTGAGGCTCTCCAGGGAGGGACCTGGCCTCTGATCCCTGAACTGACAGATGCAGGCAGGTGGATGGTGTGCTGAAATCTCCTCCAGCTCTTTCCTGGGTCCTGCAAAAACTTGAGGAAGTTTGCAGTGGTCAAAGTCCAACATGTCAGCTTCGGTCTTGGTCTCTGCCCTGCTGCCCAGCCCCAGTCCAGTCTGCTAAGTGCAGGTAGGGTGAGCTACCTAGACTTAGCCTCCACTCCACCCTGCTCCTGTGAAGGTAGGGCCACCACACCCTTCCTGCCCGGACGGTCAGCTGTGGTCTGGCCTTGGTCAGCACTGTCTTTTAGAGGCTCTGAGTGACCATGGGTGGGTCCATGTTTCTGTGACACCAGAAAATGATTATCCTGTGTTTCCATGCTGAACCCGTATGACATAATAAGGTAACTGACAAAACAGAGCAGCCTGGTAAGAAAGTGTAAAAAATGATTCTGCAACCCTCTCCCCCTCTGCGGTGACCTTGAGCGAGGTATTTTCCTTTTGGGGGCTGGTTTTCACCCCAGAGCAGCGCGACCTGCATCTACCTGCGCCTTGCTCCTCGAGCAGCCTGGTGTCGGAGGAGGGAAAGAGCCTCCCAAGGACCATTGCCAGCGCTCTGTCCTGGATCTGATACTAACCGAAGTCTTAGATCCCTCTGGCCTGTGAGCGTGTGTCTGTGTGTGCGGGAGGGTGGCTTCTTTATCCGGTATTAGTGTGTCAAATGCACTGCATGTGCCCGCTTCACTGAGAGCAGCTGAAGGTGCTGAGCCTAGAAGGTGGTGCCCCTCTTTTGCCATAGGCCCCACCCAGGACGGCTGGGCAGAAAAGTTCTAGTTTTCTTCCTAGGAAGCTAGAGACAGGTGGCTTAGATACACCTGCATCTAAACCAAGGTGTGGGTCTCCTCAATCTTGCCCAGGGATGGTTCTATTCTTGGTCAGTCTTATTGAGTTCAGCCTGCTGGCCCTTTGGGAGAGCCAGCTGAGCTTAGCTGCAGCCAGCTGTGGAGCCAGATGTGAACAGCTGCCACGCAGCTCCAGCGGGCCAGCAAGCCAAGGTGTAACCCCATGCTCTGCTAGCTTCTGAGTCCCTTTGGAAGAGCGGGAGGTTCCTGATCCTCCGGGGTTCATGGGTCATTAAAAATGCAGGGTCTCTTGAGAGTGTATGCAGGATTGAATTTCCAGGGCTGGGGGTTTAGCTCAGTGGCATAAGCACCTGCCTTGCAAGCAGGCGGTCGTGAGTTCGATCCCCGGTACCGATAAAAATGAAAAAGACAAAAAAAAAAAAAAGAGAGTGTATGCAGGATTGCATGTGACCCTACATTGTTCTGGGGATGGGAGGACGGGAGAGTGTGGTTTCCGCATTGTCAAAGAAAGCTTTGTTGCTGAAACAGTTAAGACTCTAGGGTAGACCCTCTTTGCTGTCCATCACCTTCACCTCTGGACTGGGGTTCCCTGAGCTCCCCGTCTCTGAAAGTAAGGGAGGACCAAGACACTTTGGGCTTCTTGCATGGGGCCCCTCAGAGTGAAAGGCACTGTTTCCCTGAGAGGTGGCTACTGATGCCCCCTAATCTGGTACCCACTTTGTTCTTCCCTCCTGGGAATCCAGGTGTCCTGGTCTGGCCTGACCTGCTAGGCTGTGAGGATCCCTCTGGGCTCCCCTCCCTCTCGCACTTGCCTGGAAATGAGGGTGTCTGGGCCGCCTCTGGCAGGCGTGGCTGCTGCTCCTGGAAATGAGGTCACGGCTGAGGCCTGGCTTACCTGCCCTGCTCTCCTAGACATGTCTCCCTGGGCGGGGCGGGTGCCTGGCAGCCTCCGAGGCTCGTACCCGCCGAAATGGCCTGGCAGCTGTAGCCCCAGGCTGCATGGCCTTTTTCTGTCCTCTCTGAGGACCAGTCTGGGCCAAGGGACTTTAAAGTGGCAGGGAAGGCCCAAAGGAACTTGGTCGGAGCTCACAAAAGAGGCAGATGATGTCCTGTGCAGTAGGAGGGACTGAGGCTGGCGGACAGAATTCTCTAAAGGGTCAAATATGGAGAAAAATACCAGAGAGCCAGGGAGAGGGAGCAGTTGAGAAACAGCCTTGTTCTTGCTGAAGCTTTTCATCTGAGGTTCCCCCAAGGCCTCCTTCTCATCCTTGGAGTTCTCTGGCTCCCCCAGCTTGTTGCTCTGGTTGGAGGGCTGAGTCACTAAGCGAGAGGGGCTGGCTGGGGATTGTAAGTGGGAGCACGGGAGGACTAGGGGCCTCATCAGTTTCAGCTGCCAAAGGAGCAGCCTCTGGGGAGGTGGGTAATTTGGGCAGCAGGGCTGGGATCAGCCATCCCAGAGCTGCCTCCCGCCACCCTGGGGAACACAGGACTCCTGGGCATAAGGTGTATGGGGGTCCAGTGCCCTGGGGGCTAGATCGTGGGGTCCTCCTCTGAAATCTTATCGTGGGACCCACCTACCCCTCCATGCTATGGTGAGACCTGGGAAGTTGAGTGATACAGACCAAGGCCTTTTCCTCTAGGGTGAGCCAACCTGATGGCCTGAGCCTCCTGGGCTATGTGTCCTTCCAGCCTTCTCGAACTCTGCGCCTTCTCACTTAGCTGCTGCATTAGCTCTGCACTGCCCAGTTGGGGCGCTGGGACAGGGAAAGGAGGAGCACTTCCGCCACTCAAACTCAGAGGGCTCCCCAGAGACCAGAAGGGGTTTTTCTGGCTGGAGCCAGATGAAAGGCTTTTTGAGAGCCCTTGAGAGCAATCATTTCACCCATCTGCCTTCTTCCGGGGTGGAGGAGGAGGGTGGTCCCAGCTTTGCTCTGTGTCCCCCCACCCCCAGCCCAGCTTGATTCCAGGAGAGGGTGGTCACTTCTGTCTCCAGCCTTCTGTGGCTGAGAGATGGGTTTAAGTGTGCTCTGGGAAGGGTCAATCTTTGAATTTTGATCTAGACCTGACCCAACAGTAGGTAGCTACTGGAGATGCTCATTTACATCGTGATTTACATTGCCATCTACATATGGTGAGTGCCCTGCTCTCCTCTGGGTTCTGCAGCCCCCTCCACATGCCCACCTGGCCATGGCTGGAGGAAACTGGAACTATCTTCCCCTACAGCCTTCCCCCATCCATGTGCGTTAGATCCTGGGCTGGGAGCCAGAGAGCCTTAAAGGGCCTCAGAACAGGCCAAGTAAGGGCTAAAAATACCCCAGGGGGCATGTGGGGGGGCCCTGTGGAATGTCCTAAGAGGGTGGGGCCTGGGATTAGGGCACTGGCCCTACCCCACCCCCATCCATGGGCATTGGCTGGCAAAGGGTGGGAGCTATAGGTGGTTTGAGGATTCACTGAAGTCAGCTGCCACTTGTGTCCTGCTCTGCCTGCTCAGTATCTCAGGAGGCTCTGAGTTAGGGTCCCTCGACCTCCCTTGGCTGAGGTCAGGGAATGGTGGGGGCATGGAGACCCTGTTTTTTCTAAGCGTCCTCCTGCCCGACAGACAGCTTGGGCCAGTCAGCAGCAGCAATGAGACACTGCATGCTCCAGAAGGTCCCCAGGGTCCTTTCAAGCCCTTGCGACCTGCAGCCCTTTATCAAGGGCATTATAGTCGGCCACCTCCATTTCCTGCCAGTCCAGAGGTCCTAGGGCCTGCAATCCCTGGCCTTAGCAACTGCGTCACCCTCACTCCAAGGAAGTCTTCCTCCTTACTGTCGACAGCCATGACAGTCTGTCCTTCCATCTCTGCTCTCGTTTTCCTAACCTGGCAGGTCAGAAAACCCTGGATCACTGGAGGGCGACCAGGTCAGGCGAGGCCAGTCCTGGTGCCCCAAGTGCTCACTTAGGCCTGGTCTTCATACTCAGAAACCCCTCTGCAGTGTGAGCCCATTTCTGCCTCCCACAGGTCCAGACAACAGCAGCCGCCACATTTTAGAGCTGAGGGACTCAGGGCTCAGACAGGGAAAGGAAACTGCCCAGAGCCAGGTTCCCAGTGCCCAGGTGGAGATGGTCCTTTCCAACAGGCACTGCGTCCTGTCTCATCTCTCAGGCATGCGAGGGTGCCGATATCCACGGATGGCCAGACAGTGGCCTCCCCCAGGCACCTCCCCGGGCCAGATTGAAGGTGACTAACACAGCCTCCTGCCATTCCTTGTGTGCTCAGAACCAGAATCTGCCTGGGGGCACTTTGCCTCTGCTCTCTGGGACACCTCCCAGGGTGAGGTCTGAGCTACAGATGTGAGGCCCAGGCAGAGGCCCCGCCCTTTTCCCCCAGGCACCCCGAGGCAGTGCATTCCTGGCTCCCAGTGGGCAGAGGCACCCAGGCCCCAGCATGCCCAAGCCTGCCCTGCCCACTCCCTGCCACCTTCAAGCTTCAGGTCCCAGGCTGCAGGCACGGGTTGTGGGGTGTGGGCTAGGCCGTCCTGGGTACTTTGCTCCAGTTCTGACAGGAGCCCCAAGTTTGGTGCTGGGAGGGAGCCTCAGGGTGATAGTGTTCCTGGAGTCAAATGGAGGGGCCTCTCAAACCCATTGGGACCGAGGAGGGGTCCCTGCAGAGAACACCAAGAAGCTGCAGGGAGATGGCGTGGGGAGAAAGTGTCGTGGGAGAGCTGGGGTCTCAGCCTGGGGTGCCCAGCTCCCATCCATTGCCCTGTGGGAGGTCGGCTGAGAAATCAGACTCTTTTGTAAAATGCATAGATTTTGCCCAGGATCTGCAGCACCAAGGGTCCAAGGCACTCTGAGCTGGCATCCCTGGACTGGTCCCCCACACCTTCCCCACCCTTGTCTGCTGTCACTGTCCCCAGACCTGAAATCTGGGGGCAAAGTGATAACCCTTGCTCACTCTTACCCCCTGGGAACCAGAGTTCTTGGGGCCACTGTGTCCAGAGTTCCAGGTACCCCGTGTCCCCACAGACCTTTCATGCTGTCTCCAGTTGGAATGGGGATATGGACACCAGGCAGGTTCCTTAAGGGCCGGAACCTCCTCCATCTTTTTGGGGAACTAGAAGCGGGCATTGAGACAGGGTCTCCTGATGTAGTTCAGACTGGCCTGGAACTCACTGTGTAGCCCAGGCTGGTCTTGAACTTGTGGCAGTCTTTGCAGCTCAGCCTCCCAACTGCTGGAATTACAGGCTTGAGCCACCACATACAGCTCGGACCTCCTAGATTTAAAATGGCATTAAGAGCAAGGACTTGGGTCTGTGGCACTCTGCCCTGTCCCCTCATAAATCCTCCTTCTCCTTGCCCCATGCTGGAATTTAAATCCAGAGCCATGATTCGTTCCGTCTCCCTCTCTTTGGGTCTCTCTTAATCTAGAGGCCAAAGCAGTCTTTTGCAAACAGCTCTGGCCATGGCACTCATTTGTCTAAAATCCCTTCATTGCTTTTCCAAGGCCCTGCCTGCCCTCCTTTCCTGATGTTCTGGGCTCCTCTGTACCAGCAGGCCCGGGCCCTGAGTCACCCTGCTTGGTCATCCTTCCTGCTACAGGCTGTACCTTTGCCTAAAGCGCCCTTTCCTTCTTCACTGGGTGTCCTGGTCACTGTCCCCAGATGCAGGCCCCTGTTTTCCCTTCCCTAAGGAACCCAGGTAATCCTGCTTTCCTCCAGGTAGGCCCCTACTGGGCTGCCCGATTCCTGGCCGGCCCTCCCCTATGCTGGGCTTTCCTGGAGGGTGCGGCAGGAGCCCATTCCTGGCTGGGCCCCAGGGCCTGGCATAATGCTGACCCTCAGTGAACACATGCTGAATTGCAAGTTGGCTGCGGGAGCCTGGGGCAGCCTGAGCCCTGGCCCACCATCCTTCCTGCCCTCAGGCTACTGGCTGGTGCCCCTCGGGAACTCGCAGTGCCTGATGGCTCTACCAACCGGACCGGTGCTGTATACCTGTGCCCCCTCTCTGCTTTCAAGGACGACTGTGAGCGGATGGACATCACAGAGAAAAGTGAGGGGTAGGGGTTGGGGAGAGGGGCCTGGAGATGCCAGGCTTGCTGGTGTGGTTCCTAGTGACTTCCTGTCCAGCTGGGAAGAGGGAGGGAGCCCTAGAGGAACTCAGTAATGAGGGGCTGAGGAGGGCTGCCCTGCTGGAGTGCAGGCCCCGGGGGGACAGCGCCTGCCCTCTGCAGGCTCTGTGATTGGGGGGTGTTCTGGCTTATAATCCCTCTCATATCTACAGGTGACCCTAACCATCACATTATTGAGGACATGTGGCTTGGGGTGACTGTGGCCAGCCAGGGACCTGCTGGCAGAGTCCTGGTAAGTGGACGCTGACGTTTAGTCCTCCTTCACTCCCTTCCTGCTTCATGAGGTTGGAGGACAGTAGAGGGCATCTGTGCAGACATGTGCTGTGGCCTTTATAATGTCCCCTGTGGTGGCCGTGTGTCTCCGCAGGCCTCTCTACCCCTGCTCCCTGTGTTCCTCGGAAGGGCTGCTGCTGGTGTGTCTGACACCCTCCCGTGGCTGAGCATGGCCTGGTCATCACCCACTTCCTCTCCACACCCATAGGGTGCTCAGCACTTGTGGAAATGAGCAGGGAATGGAATTCGGAGGAGGAAAGGGCAGAGAGGGCCCTGGGCAGCAGGCTCTGGCCTAGCTCCTTCCTGGGAGGCTGGCCACCGGAAGAGGCACAGCCCTGCTGGCCCCGGCTTACCCGGCTCTGCTCTGGGGGCCACTCCCTGCTGTCCGTGGTCATCTCCTGCCTATGTCCTTCAGTGCTGAGCTCTGGGATCTCAATGTCTGAGACCCAAAGAGAGACTTTTTTTTTCATTGCTTCAATTGTGGAATGCACAGCTTTTAAGTTTCTGTGCAATTTGATAAGCGTATACCCCTGAGTAACCAACACCCACGGCAGAGTCAGCATTGTTTACCTCGTGCCCTTCCAGTCAGTTGCCTCCCCCACGGCCATCCCTGCTGTGACTTCTGCCTCCTCAAACACTGCTGTGAGCTCCAGGTTTGCACCAGAACACGGAGATGACTGTGGGCTCAGGGACCATTTCAGGCTGTTCTAGACCCTAGGTCCATAGCTATTAGCTACTCCCCCACCCATCCATCCATTCATTCAACAAATATTTAGTGGATTCCTACTCTTTATGAAGGCCCATGTGACATGCCAATGGGACTCACAGAAGGGGGCAGTATACAAAACTAAGACCTCTTTCCTGATTTTGCCCAGGTGATTTTAAGACACAAACACACACACACACACACACATACACGCGCGCGCGTGCACATGCATGCATGCAGGCACGCACATGCACCTTATTTTTGCATTACTTGAAATAGAACCCAGGTCTCATGCATGCCAGGCAGGCACTCACACACTGAGTTACGTCCCCACCTTACAACATCCTATTTTAATCTAGTAATTTCCCCACTAAATACAAATTGAGCACCTGCAGAGATTCTTCCCTTTGTAAGGCAGTGCAGTGTCACACAGAAGAGCTCAGACTCTGCAGCCAGACAGCTTTGTTTTGAAAATGTTCTCGGTCTCTGTCTAATGTGAGGTCTTAGGCAGCTGGTAACCAGTCTGTCCCTCAGTATCTAAAATGGAGGAAAGCATCGTCTCTGTACCGTAGTATTGCCAGCAGGCCTCACAGAGCTTTTATGGGCAGCGTTTAGAAGTGACCAGGTGTATAATATGAGGTACGAGATCCAAAAGAAAGCTTGGAATATATTTACATTTTAAAAACACATCACAATCAAAGATGCATGGCCACTAATCTTCAAAATCCTTCCCTTAGCTGGGCATGGTGGCTCATGCTTGTAAGCCCAGCACTCGGGAGGCAGGAGGATTGTTGCGAGTTCGAGACCAGCCTGGGCTACAAAGTGAGTTCAAGGCCAGCCTGAACTGCATACAGACCCTGTCTCAAAAAGACCAAAAAAAAAAAGCCTTCCCTTTGCTGTGAACGTACGTAGCCCATTATTCTTATCATTTTCTTTTTTATTTGTCTCACTGTGCAGTTCGGGCTGGCCTTGAGCTCACTTTGTAGCTCAGGTTGGTCGCAAACTTGCAATGATCCTCCTGCCTCAGCCCCTCGAGTGCTGTGGTTATAGGTGTACACCACCACACCCGGCTTAGTTCTTACTATTTTCTAAAACAGCTCTGCAGGTCCTTTAAATCACACTATCAAAAAAAAAAAAAAATTGCACTGTCATGGCCACCTGTATGTCTTGAGTCCTTTGGAAACATTTAGCTTTTGTGGTCACTCTGACTTTGGGGAGGAGCCAGAAGTCACACCAGAGAATAAGGTGGGTTGCCTTTCTGTTGGATGGCATTGGGCAGCTGTATTCACTGTATTTCTAATCACATTCTGTGAAGCCCACAGAGGGGTCCTGTCCAGAGGGCTCCAGAGCTGGTGTGAACCCTGGGATGAGGGTGTTCAAAGCAAGGGTTTTGAGTGGGACTCAGGGCAAGATGTCTTTCACTGTACTAAAGTTTTTAATTTAAATGTCTGCCGTATTTTGGGATCACCCCTTGTGAGTTCTTGATAAGTTTCAGTTGATGCTATTACAGTTAATATTATCACTACTTAATGGCACTGTTTTCATTACGTAGACAGGGTCATTTGGGGACAGAGAGAAATCAGCTCTCTGTAAATGTGTTTGTTAGGCGCAGGAACCTAAACCACATCCCTTCGTCCGTCCCCTCCCCTTCCTTTCTCTGAGATCTCTAAGCCGGTCTCGGGCACGGGACTGTCAGGTACCAGGGTGAAGGAGACAGCTCACTGCCGAGGCTCCTGCCCCTGGCTAAGGCTGCGTGTGTGGGGCTCCCAGGTCTGCGCCCACCGCTACACCCAGGTGCTGTGGTCAGGGCTGGAGGACCAGCGGCGCATGGTGGGCAAGTGCTACGTGCGGGGCAACGACCTGGAGCTGGACCCCAGCGATGACTGGCAGACCTACCACAACGACATGTGCAACAGCAACACCGACTACCTGGAGACGGGCATGTGCCAGCTGGGCACCAGCGGCAGCTTCACCCAGAACACTGTGTACTTCGGTGCCCCTGGCGCTTACAACTGGAAAGGTGGGGGTCATGGGGGAAGGCAGGAGCAGCGGAGACCACCACCCCCAGCTAGTGGGAGACCTTACCCTTCCAGTGAGGAGGGCAGAGAGACAGGAAGAGGTGCCAGCAGCAGCCCCCAGGTCCTCTACCAAGTTAAAGCATTTGTCATGCCCCGAGGGCTGCTTTAGTCTTTTTTATGAAGCCAATAGTATTGTAGCCATTTTAGAGAACAGAAAGCTGAGGCGTAGAGCAATAAATCACCCATGGTGAATAGAAAGCTAGGAAGCACAGACTGGAATGTAAGCCGTCTCACTTTACCTTACCCACTAAAAAATATTATTTTAACTAGATTTTTTCTTTTTTGACACAAGGTCTCACTTTGCAGTCCAGGCTGACCTTGAACTCACAGGGATCCTCCTATCTCAGCTCTGCTGAGTATTAGGATTACAGTCGTGCATTTTAAAAGCTTATTTTAGAAACAAAATATAGCTCCTTAATGGTACTGCAGGATTTGGTAGTCCAAAGGGTGGGGAAGTGTCTCCGAGAGCCTACTACCCAGAGCCAGGAGGATGGCAAGGCAGCCTCTACAGCTAGCTTCCACGTGAGCATAAGCATGTCAGTTTCCTGTCCCAAAGCCTCAGTTTTGTCATCTGCAAAATGGGTATCATAATTCCATTTCTTAAAGTGTCACAAATAAGAGGCAATGTTATTATTATGGGGAGGAGTCTGGAAATGGTGGCAGGGGAAGAGAGTGGCAACCAATGTTCCCCTGTTCACCCTTCCCAAATCCTTGCACAGGAAACACCTACATAATTCAGCGGAAGGACTGGGATTTATCTGAGTACAGTTACAAGGAACCGGAGGGTGAAGGAAACTTCTATATTGGTGAGTCCAGCGCTGGTGTGGCTTGCTGGGTGACAGAATGGGAAGGCAGCTCAGTCCCTAGCACCCTGGGCCTGGTGGAGGAGTGAGGCTAGGGTTCAAGCATGGTAAGTGGCATTTGATTCACATAGCATGTACTCCTGAGCGCCATCTGTATGCTAGGCCCTGTTCCAAGCCCTCAGATCAAACCCACCACTCTCTGGGGTCCGGGAAGGGACAGAGCCTCTGCATCTGGGAGCCACTGGACCCTGATGGAACCCCTTTGCCTCTTCCAGGGTACTCAGTGCAGGTAGGCAGAGCCGTCCTGCAGTTCTCAGACATCACTGTTGTGACGGGTGCCCCGCGGCACCGACACAGGGGCGCCATCTTCCTGCTGAGCCAGGAGGCGGGCGGAGACCTTCGGAAGAGGCAGGTGCTAGAGGGCACACAGGTGGGCGCTTATTTTGGCAGCGCCATTGCCCTGGCAGACCTGAACAACGATGGGTACGGACCCGGGGGGACAGAAGGGTACATGGGCCAGGTTGGTGGGGTGGAGGAAAGCTTTGGGATTGCACTGTCTTTGGGGCTTTGCAGAGTCCTGAGAGTCTGTGTGTTTGCATATTTGCATGACACTGTACATGCTTACCTGTGCCTGTTGTTTCTGTGGCTCCAATGCTTGTGGGCTCTTTGAGTATCATCTTTTTTTGGGGGGGGGTATCATCTTTGCTTGTGGGCTCTTTGAGTATCATCTTTTTTTGGGGGGTATCATCTTTGCTTATATGGCTTTCCCATGACATACAGTGCAGGATGGCCTTGGGCTCACTTTGTAGCCCAGGCTGGCCTCAAACTTGCAGCAATCCTCCTGAGTGCTGGAATGCCATCATACCCAGCAAAATGCATTATTTTCTATTTGGTGGCCTTTCTGTGTCCTTCCCATGGCCTATGGCCAGAAGTGCCATTTGCATGGCTGTGTGCTCCGCACAATCACACCTGTTAAATAAGGACCATGCTGCACATTGAGGTCCGGCCTTACACTCCCTTCTCCCCTCCCCCTGGCCTGTGTAGGTGGCAAGACCTCCTGGTGGGCGCTCCCTACTACTTTGACCGGAAAGAGGAGGTAGGGGGTGCTGTCTACGTCTTCATGAACCAGGCAGGCACTTCCTTCCCTGCCGAACCCTCTCTCCTCCTTCACGGCCCCAGTCGCTCCGGCTTTGGCTTCTCCATGGCCAGCATTGGTGACATCAACCAGGATGGATTCCAGGGTAGGAGCCAGCACCCCTCCCTGACTGATGGTGCACCAGCTGACAGATCCCATATGGGAATGCGACAGGGCCAGGTCTGGTTTGCTCAGAGCAGCACTAGACAAGGGACAGAGGCAGGCCATGGGTGACCTGGGGGTAGACAAGTGGCTGAGACTGCACAGAAGGGTGGAAAGAGCACAACACCTATGCAGTGTGTACCCAGATCTAGCTAGCGATGGGGTGTCTGTCCCTGGGGGAGCTATGGGGGGAGGTTGGGATGCTAAAAGCCAGGCACCAAACTGGAGCTTTCCACTGGGGTAACTGGACGGGGGTAGGGGACAACCAGAGAAAGTTTGGGGGCAGGGATGTGACACGATAGCTTGATACCCTAAAAGCTAATTCTGGAGGAGAGGGTGCAAGGTCTAACGAGCATAGCAAGGCTGGGGAGGTAACAAAGTTAAGAAAGTAGCGCCCAGTGGGGTGGCATATGCGTATAATTCCAGAGCCCTGGGAGGCTGAGGCAGGAGGTTCACAAGTTGGAGCCCCGCCTGGGAAACTTAGAGACTTAGTGAGATGCTGCCTGGAAATAATAAGAAAAAGCCTGGGGATGTAGCTCAGTGGCTCAATGAATGAATAAAGTATGAGATGGGGGTGAGAAGGGTGGGACAAGGTGGAGTCCTAAACAGTGAGGTCATCACCAGTGCTCTGCAGAACCTGGGGACCAGTCTCACCCGAGGCGCCATGGAAAGGGACAGGTGAGGGCCTGGGTCTTGTTGCCATGGAAATGCTTGGCTGATCCGGAAGTCCCTTGTCTGAAAACCTGTTCCCCGGGACACTGCTGAGAACCAAGGGCAGACAGGAACCTCAGAGGCAGCAAAATGGTGCCAGGAAGTTCAGCCCATGACCCCACGCGCTGCCTCCAGTAGGGCCCTGTGGTTTTGCTTCAGATCATGGACACTTCCTTGGCACACTTCACCGGCAAGCCGGACCTTCGGGTGCCAGGGTTTATCAGATCATACAGTGCCAGAAAAGGAAGCCAGAAGTCAAGTCCACCATAGCGCCAGGATTAAAGTCTCAGCCTCAGTGTTAGGCAGACATGGGTCCAGCTGTCCTCTCTCCTTCTCCGTGCTGGGTTTTCTGAGCCTGCTTCCTCATCTGTATGTTGGGGACAAGAGTACCCACCTCACAGCACTCTTGGGAGGGTTAAGAGATGGGTGCATTAATCAGAGGCTGTCGCTAGTGGGGACACCTCCTTTTTGGACTCTGCTGGTGAACGTTACTGGAAAAACCCTGGTGTCAGGAAAGAAGATAGGCAGGGAAAATGGAGAGGCAGTGGGGATCTGGGACATAGCTCAGCTGTGGCACTGACCTGCCACATGACTAGGGAAGTCGCTTACCCTTTCTGGAACCTCCTTTCCACCTATAAAAGGAGGCAAGTGGTGTCTGGGGTCTCAGTTTTAACCCTGAGCTGCAAGACCCTGCTGCTCTGAGTGCCGTCCAAGGCCCAGGTCAGGACTGTCCTGGGTCTGGGGGCCTGCAGCACAGACTTAGGGATTTGAGGAGCCCGAGGTGCCCCATGTGACCCCGACCTGCCTTTTCTCCCCAGACATTGCTGTGGGCGCCCCGTTCGAGGGCTTGGGCAAAGTGTACATCTACCACAGCAGTTCCGGTGGGCTTCTCAGACAGCCCCAGCAGGTATGGACGGACGGGGATGCGGCTGCTGCCGCCGCCAGCTGAGGTGGGCCTTCCCTCCTGTGCCTATCGCCCGGGGTCCCCTTCCCTAGAGCCTGCCCCGAAGCCCATGCCCACCGTGTCCCCCATCCCCAGGTAATCCATGGAGAGAAGCTGGGACTGCCTGGCCTGGCCACCTTCGGCTACTCTCTGAGTGGGCAGATGGATGTGGATGACAATCTCTACCCAGACCTGCTCGTGGGGAGCCTGTCGGACCACATCGTGCTGCTGCGGTGAGCAGGGGAATGCCGGACAGGGGCTGTGTCTCCTCCGCCCTGTTTACACGGAGTCCCATCTCTGTCCCTCTTCTGCACCAGGTCCAGGGACGCCTTCAGTCCAGGAGGCACTGATAGCTGCCTGGTTCTGTTGTCTCTGCAGGGCCCGGCCCGTCATCAACATTCTCCACCGGACCTTGGTGGCCAGGCCAGCTGTCCTGGACCCCACACTTTGCACAGCCACTTCCTGGTGAGACTGTCAGCCCTTGCTCTGCCCACTCCTCATGGTTGAGCTGGCCAAGAGGGGACCCAGCTCCCAGGCCTCTCCTCTGGCTTCCCTGATACCCTACCTTTAGAGGTTTGGGGCCAGCACTGGCCACTCTCAGTGAAAAGTGCAGTTCCTTGCAGGAGGTAACAGGTGAATGGGGCGGGGGCAGTCGTGCCCAGTGGTTAGGACCCAGAACTCTGGGCTGCTTGGCTCAAATCCTGCATTGTAGGGGCAGAGAGGGTACTCTGGGGAGCACGGTCCCAGAGGAAGAGGGAAGAGGAATGCACTTAAGTGGAGGGATGTGGGGCATTCAGGGAGAGCCACCTTGGGCAATTATTAATCTCTTACGCCTGGGATTCCTTTCTGTCAGAGTTAACAACCACTTCACAGGGCTGGTGATAATTAAGTGAGATAATGTACAAAACGTTCCTAGCACAGCACTTGGCATGCCTTAAGTGCTCAAAAGTGCTCAAAAAAGGTTAGCTGCTAAGAAAGTGATGACTGTGGTGGCGAGGAGCCCAAGGCTTTATGTGGTGACATGGGGTGAAGGCATAGGAGGCCAGGCAGGAGCGGGGTGGGTGGTGGAAGGAGGCCTCATGGGAGATCTCAAGATGGGGCTGGGGCCACCAGCTGACTGATGACTTCAGACAAGTCCTTCTGCTCTCTGGGCCTCAGTTTCCCCACCAGTGACCTCTCATCTTGCTTTCTGTAGCTCTGTTAGGAATGAGGTCAGGGAGAGCTTGCAGCAGTTTTGCAGACACCCTAGTTTTCTCTTTCCTGTCCCCAGAAAGGCCCTAGGTTCCCTTTCCCTCTTACAGGAGCCAGTTAGGGCCTAGTCCCCTGGAGGGTCCCACTGTGACCAGGTCCTGTCCATCCCCCCAACAGTGTGCAGGTGGAGCTGTGCTTCGCTTACAACCAGAGCGCGGGGAACCCCAACTACAGACGCAACATCAGTGAGTGCCTGCGGGTCCGGGGGGCAGGGAGGAGGGAGCATGCTTGCCCGGCGCCTGCTGACTGCCCTGTCCACCTGCAGCCCTGGCCTACACCCTGGAAGCTGACCGGGACCGACGCCCACCCCGGCTCCGCTTTGCACGCAGCCAGTCAGCTGTGTTCCACGGCTTCTTCTCCATGCCGGAGACACGCTGCCAGACGCTGGAGCTGCTCCTGATGGTGAGGGAAGAGTGAGGGCAGGAGGGGCACCAGGACCCCTGGAGGAAGTGACTGCCCCCCCCCCAGGTCAAAGATGAGGGCCGAGGCACTCCCCAGAGACAGGCTGGCGTGCCATGAGTCTGATGGATGAGGTATCTTGAGGAGGTGCAGTGCCCAGCGCCTAGCACATGGCAGGGGCAGCAAAGTCCCTGAGAAAGTGAGGGGTGTTGGGGGTTCACCTCTGGGAAAAAGGGTCCCCGATTGGGACATCAGAGGCAGGGAGGGGAGAACTCACCCGGGGCCTAGTGGCGAAGGGAGGCCCTGTCCTCCCCCTACCCTACCCAGACCTTCCAGCAGGAGGAGCGCCATGCCCTCTGGAGCTCAGAGTGGAGGTTCAAGGTGGTGGACTCAATTTATGATCAAAAGTGGGTTCAGCCCTACTGGGAGGCGTCAGCTCCTCCCCAGGACTCAGAGTGATGTGAGGGTTCAACCAGGAGGAGGCAGGGCAGGGCTGGCTCAGCTGTCGCTCCATCCCCAGGATAACCTGCGCGACAAACTCCATCCCATCGTCATCGCCATGAACTTCTCATTACCTCTGCGGCTGCCCGAGCGCCCCCGGCTGGGGCTGCGCTCCCTGGACCCCTACCCGGTTCTCAACCAGGCGCAGGCTCTGCAGAACAGCACAGAGGTGGGCGAGGCGGTCCAGGAGGGCTGTGGGCTGAGAGTACGCTGACGGGGTGCAGCCCCTCATGCCTCCGACTCTCCCCAGGTCCAGTTCCAGAAGGCGTGCGGGCCAGACAACAGGTGTGACAGCAACTTGCAGATGCGGGCGGCCTTTGTGTCAGATCAGCTGCAGCCACTGAGCAGGTGAGCACTGCGTGGCTCTGGTTGGACAATGGTGTATCGTGGTCCAATTGGCTGATAGGACTTGCGGGGGGGGGGGTGCTCACTTCAGGGCAGAGCCTCATTGGTCAATAGGATTTGGGGGCGGGGCTTCCTTCCCCTGGACCTATGGTGGCGGGGCCTGACCTGCCCTGGCACCGGGCCAATCTTGTGGGTCTGGGGTGTGCCCTAAGGGCGGGGCTTGTGGCTCACTCGGGCTCCTCTCTCAGGTTCCAGTACAGCAGGGATGTCCGGAAATTGCTGCTGAGCATCAACGTGACCAATGCCCCAAGCCAGGAACGCCTTGGGGAAGATGCCCACGAGGCTCTGCTCACCCTGGAGGTCCCACACGCCCTGCTGCTGTCTTCTGTACGCCCTGTAAGTGTCCAGGGGCCAAGCTCAGCCCAAGCAGAACTCCTTGCTAATTTGCATATCGTGTGTATATCGTTTGTATGCATAATATACCCGCCTCTAGGCTGGTTCTCCTCTCTGCTCCCTGGTGTTTTCCTGCTTGGGAAACTTGGTTCTCAGGCCATAGAGGTTTCTGCCTTGACCTTCCTTATCTTTCTTCCTCAGCCTGGGGCCTGCCAAGCTAATGAGACCATTCTGTGCGAGCTGGGGAACCCCTTCAAGCAGAACCAGAGGGTGAGCCCCAGGCCTGGGCACCACCCCTCTGCCTCTTGGGCTGCCTTGAAGTCGAGGTCCACAGGAGGGTGGAGCAGGCTTAGGCAGCTCCAGGGACTTGCTCAATGTTGTAGCACAGATCTGGAAAATAGCAGGGCTGTCACCCAAGAGAGAAGAGGTGGGGAAGGGAGACCCCTCACCTAGAATAGGGGGAAGAGGACACCAGAGAACCACCTCCCTCGCTCAGTGTTGGCCTTTCTCTTCCCCGGGGGTATCGCCCCTTCGGGTCCCCAAACACCCCCTCTGCTTCCCTGACCCGGGTGGCAGATGGAACTGCTCATCGCCTTTGAGGTCAGCGGGGTGACGTTGCACACAAGGGACCTTCGAGTGCAGCTGCAGCTCTTCACGTGAGTGACCCGGTGGAGCCGGGCAGGCTGGGGTGGAAGTGATGGCCTCCGTCTCCTACTGACCCCGGGGTTCCCTCCCCCAGGTCTAGTCACCAGGACAACCTGCAGCCCGTAGCCCTGACTCTGCCGGTGGACTACTCGCTCCAGGCTTCCCTGAGCATGTGGGTGCTACTCTGCTGCTCCCCTCCCTGTCCCCAGCCTGCCGTGCCTGAGCCAGGGCCTCTGCGTCCCCAGGTCATCCTTTCATTTCAACCTCATTAATGTTACTGTCCTAATAGAGCTCAGAGGAGGACTCAGCAACACTAGGGCTGACGTGCTGGCCCCTGCCCTTGTTTTAGGGAGGGTTTTCTTGCTGTTGTTTTGGAGATAGAACCCCGGGCCTTGGCATGCACTCTGCCACCGAGCTACATTCCAGCCCTTTTCCCTGAGTTGCCCAGCGTGGCTTCAGACTTGCAATCCTTCTGCCTCAGCCTCCTAAGTAACTGAGATTGCAGGTGTGCACCACTGTGCCGCACTCCAGCCATTTCTTGAACACTCGTGTGCTGAGGACTTTGTGTCCATCTTGTCAACATTTCGAACTGCGCTGTGTGGTACCAGCTGTTAGGAGCTCCACTTTGCAGATGAAATAGTCTCAGGGAGGATAAATAACTCACTGAGATGAATGGCGGAGCCAAGTTTATACCCAGGCCTGCCTGACATCAGAGGAGCTGTAGGTAACCTGTCTTGGTGCCATCCCTCTGCCGGGGCCTCAGCTTCCTGCCCCCCATGACTCAACCGTCTTTCTTACTCCTAGGGTGAATCACAGGCTGCAAAGCTTCTTTGGGGGAACTGTGATGGGTGAGTCGGGCATGAAAACTGTGGAGGATGTGGGAAGCCCCCTCAAATACGAATTCCAGGTAAGGGTACCTGTGGGGCCATGGGTGGTGCCTCCTGGGAAAGGAGTGGGGGGTTCGTTCTGGGTCTGGGGTCTGAGGGTGGGAGGTGTTTTCTCGGAAGACAATAACCATGATACCTCTTGTGCCCACAGGTGAGCCCTGTAGGGGAGGGGCTGGCTGCCCTGGGGACCCTGGTCCTAGGTCTGGAGTGGCCCTATGAAGTTGCTAATGGCAAATGGCTGCTGTACCCCACGGAGATCACCATTCATGGCAATGGGTCCTGGCCCTGCCAGTCTCCTGGAGATTTGGTCAACCCTCTCAACCTCACTCTCTCTGTAAGTCCACCAGTGGGGTGCTTCATTTGCATCTCATTTGCATTGCACCTCATTTGCATATAGAGGGCCAGAAGGGCCCTGTCTTTCCCTCCTTCTTGTCCTTTGGGAGGCTGACTCTCCCTCTGTCCTTTTTCATCTTCTACTCCTGCTCCCAATTCTTTCTCTTCCCAGCAAATCTCTTCCTCCTTCAGGACCCCAAAAATAGTCCACAGCGCAAGCGGAGAGAGCTGGACCCTGGGGGAGACCAGGGCCCCCCACCCATCACTCTGGCTGCTGCCAAGAAAGCCAAGTCTGAGACTGTGGTGGTAAGTGACCAGGGGAGGGCTGCAGAGCATTGCAAGGTGCATGGCACCGGGGAGCACAAGGCAGGAGGGAGACAGAGACCCAGGCTGATGAGGCCACCCGACCTGTTGGGGACCACACAGTGCGCACAGCCTTGGACATAAAGGCTGGGAGTGGGAGGTACAGAAGGCTGGCCAGGGCTCCCTCCCTAGCGGACAGGAGAGGCAGAGGGTGGGGTCCTGGGGCAGGTTTCTGGAGAGGACTGGTGCAGGGCAGTCGGAGCCTCCTTGACATGCCAGGGCTTAGGTTTCATATTAATCATCTTCCTGGTGGTATATGGGCTTGACCCAAAGAGTGTCTTGAATGCATCTTAGGGAAGTTGGGGAACATGCGTGAGTGACAGTGTGAAATTGGGAGCCCTTGGGATCACCCAGGGGTGAGACAAAGTCTAAGAGTGATGAAGAGTGTGGAGCAAAGTGTGAAGAATTTGGAGACCCAGCCTGGCTCCTGCCTTGTGTCCCCTGCCTGCTCAGAACTGTGCCAATGGCCGTGCCCGCTGTGTGTGGCTGGAGTGCCCCCTCCCGGATGCCACCTTCACCACCAACGTGACCGTGAAGGCGCGAGTGTGGAACAGCACGTTCATCGAGGTGGGCGCTGAGCACTGGAGAGAAGGGGCACAGCCAGGAGGGTCCGTGCCAGCCTCTAACGCCACCTGGGGCAGAGATCTCCTGTGACTCAGTTCCAAACCTTTGTAGCTTTACGGGCCGCATCCTGTTTCTGGGGCGTCGGCTCAGTCCTGCTATTGTAGTGCCAAAGCTGCATGGATGAATGACTGGGCGTGGCTGTGTGCTGGGAATACTTAGTGCAAAAGCAGGGGCCGGGCCAGATGTAGCCTGCGGGCCCAGCGGCAAGTGTGACCCTCTGCTGTGCTGTCCAGCACAGGAGCTGCTGCTCAAGTGAATGAAAGGAGGAAGGAAGAAAGGAATGCCTGCATGTGGTGCAGAGGAGGGGCCTGGCGGACTCCTCCTTTGGGGTGCTGCTTCAGGCTGCTGCCTAGTGGGAGGGCAAGGGAGTAGGGTGCGTGGGGTTCAGAGAGAGGCTCAGGGATGCCTGAGCTGCTGCCTTTGACCGCTCTGCGCCCCCCTCCCCCAGGATTACAGAGACTTTGACCGAGTCAGGGTAGATGGCTGGGCCACTCTCTTCCTGCGAACCAGTGTCCCCTCCCTCAACATGGACAACAAGACCACATTGGTGAGTAGAGCAGGCTGTCCCCGGGCACGGCACAGGGCATCTCGGGAGCACGCTGGCATCCTTAGCTGTACGGGATGCACCCCAGAGTGGCTGAGTCTGTGTCCCTGGGGTGGGACCACAGGAGCCTGTGTAACCCTGACAAGCAGCCAGGGTTGAGAGCCCCCGCCTGAGGTCATTTGGTCTGCACAGTGGCTATGGAAGGAGGAGGACTGGGGTTGTGGCTCTGTTTAGGGCTGAAGAAACAGGTCCAGAGAGATGGAATGGCCTTTCCAAGTGGCCTTGGTTGGCTGGGGAGGCATTGAGGCACAACTGTGGGGAGGACAGGTTCAGAGGCCCTCGGGGAGGGGCACAGTGCCCGGGAACCCAGGGCAAGCACTGTGTTGACAAGGGAGTGTTCTGGGTCCCCCTGGGCCAGCTCACTTCCACGTGTGTAACTGTCCACACCACAGAACAGAGAAGTGATTGAGCTAGGTGTGAAGGTGCGTGCCTGTAATCCCAGCCCTTGGGAGGCTGAGGCAGGAGGATCGCCATGAGTTTGAGGCCAGTCTGGGCTACGCAGTGAGTTTAAGGCCAGCCTGATCTATGTAACAGGATCCTGTCTCAAAGAAGTTTTTTTGTGTGTGAAAAGCATGTAAGTGGAGATATGTAGGAGACATATATCAAGAGATAAACGGAGGGCTGGTTAAATACATTTTTGTATATTTCCTAAAATAAATTATTGTGGCATAAAATAAGTTACTGTGGCACAAAAAAGGCGTAGGGAGGCTTGGAAAGATTAATGTAACAGAAATTTAATTTGATACAGACTGTGTTTTTAATCAGTGGAGAAAGATTATTAAGGAGTATTGGAAAAATACATTTGGAAAATAAAGACAAATCTCTACCTCACACCATAAACAAAAAAAATGTGGTTAGGTGAAGTATTTAAATGTGGAATTAAATGTGTACCAGGATCAAATACAGGGGCTGATTTAATAGTAACCTTTAATTAGCTGGGCCTTGTGGCACAGGCCTGTAGTTGTAGCAACTCTGGAAGCCTCAGTAGAGACCCTGTCTCAAAACAAAAAATGGGCCCAGGGGTTTAGCTGAGCAGCACAAGCACCTTCTTGGCAAGTGTGAGGTCAGGAGTTCGATCCCTGGTACCAGAAAAAAAAATAAAAATAAAAAATGGACTGGGCTAGGCGTGGTAGGTACATCCCTAATTCCAGCACTCAGAAGGCTGAGGCAGGAGGATTGCTGAAAGACTGAGGTTGACCTGGGCTACATGGTAAGTTTGAGACCATCCTGAACTACAAAGCAAGAGTCTGTCTGGAAAAACCAAAAAACAGATGAGCAGGGACCATAGTTCATTGTGAAGGTCCTAGTTTCAGTCCCCAGTACTGGGGAGGAAAAGTAATCTTTAATTATGGAGAGTAAATTATTTTATTAAACTCAAAATCACAAAGGAAAAACTAAATAAATCGTGTGTGAAAATTTAAATCCGGGCCTGAGGATTTAGCTCAGCGGCATAAGCACCTGCCTTGCAAGCAGGCAGTCGTGAGTTCGATCCCTGGTACCGATAAAAATGAAAAAAAAAAAAAAAACATAGAGTGGAGGATGTGAAAAGCAGAGTGCTGTCTGGCGCTGATAGGTAGAGCGACATGGTATTGGCTGGAGCATAAATCAGCGGGTTCCTTTTGGAGATGAGTTTGTCAATACCCATTAAAGTTTAAAGTGCCCGTTTCCTCCGCACGAGCCCCGGTAGCCTGTCCTTGGGAGCTGATGAGCAGAGCGTGCAGAGAAATGGATGGGGATATTTTAGAGCGTGGTTGAAGAGGGCAGAGAGCTGGAGACACTTGTGATATCTTTCAGCCGGAGGCTGGCTCAGTCCGCTGGCCCATTGCCTTCAACGACTGTGGCCCAGGAGAGGTCCACTTGGCCTCTGTCATTTGACAGGGTCAGATGGTCACACAGGGAGGGAAGAAACAGGTTGCATGGAAGTGAAGGTAGGCTGGGCCCATCAGTAGGGATCAGATACAGTAAAAAAAGTGAGGGGCCGGGCATATAGCTCTGCGTATTGCGCCTGCCTGGCAAGTATGAAGTCATGAGTTCCGTTGCTAGTACCAAAACATTTTTTTAAAAATGAATGCCAGGAGATACTTGTTCCTAGAGTCTAAAATTCCTGAGAACCTTTAATTTTCCTTGTATCAAACATTTTAAAAATGGAGATGAACCACAGACTGCTGAAGTAACTTGCCCAGGGTCACACAGCTAGTGAGGAGTACGGTTAGACTCGAACCCAGGACTCCCGAACCTGGCCCTTCGCCTCTCAGCTCAGTATGAGGTAGGGATTCGATGCCCTTATCAGAGGGCTCTAGCTGCAGATTCAGGGATGTGATCACTCGTCCAAGGTCACATCACACGGCCCACCAAGGGACCCCAGCCAGAGCGTGTACACAGCAGCGGGTCTGAGGCCGCAGCCAGGCAGCCAGGTCTGTGTAGCAGAGAACAGGACGGGTGCATCTGATGGTGGCAAGCAGATGAGATAGGCAGGGGCTTTCTCCAGTCCCTGGCTGCCCCCTACTGGCAGGAGGTCAAACAGCAGAACCTCGGGCACAGCCAGAAAGAGACAGGTTTGAATGAGGGTTGTGGGGCCAGTGGGGCCGACACAGGACACTGAGTGGCTTCTCTGCACCCCAGTTTTCTGTGGACATCGACTCAGACCTGGTAGAGGAGCTGCCGGCCGAGATCGAGCTGTGGCTGGTGCTGGTGTCCGTGGGTGCGGGGCTGCTGCTCTTGGGGCTGATCATCCTCTTGCTGTGGAAGGTTAGCACCCTGTCCACCTCTGGGGAGCTCCCACTCCCACCAGCCCCTGCTCACCGACCCTCCCTTCACCTCACGGCTCCCCATCCCTGGCCTCATTTCCATCACAGCCCCCCCACCCTAGCTTCCAGTTCTCCCCTGCTTTGGTTAGTGGGGGGGAACTGCAAGCTGGATTGGGGGAACCCAGGAGATCCAGCACCTAGCCACACCCCCAGCTGAGGCCAGGATCCAGGCCTCCAGGTTCCCTGCCCTAAGCCCTGGCCCCTGAGTACTGCTGGCCCGGACAGCCCAGGGCCCCTGATGGCACCTCCCACCTCCTCCCTCCAGTGCGGCTTCTTCAAGCGAGCCCGCACTCGTGCCCTGTATGAAGCCAAGAGGCAGAAGGCGGAGATGAGGAGCCAGCCGTCAGAGACAGAGAGGCTGACCGACGACTACTGAGGGCAGCCCCCGCCCTGGCCCACCCGGGTAACGCGGCCTGTGGGCCCTGCTCCCCGAGTCCCAAGCCGGCTGGGGCCTCTGACTCTGTCCTGTCTGCTCCTCTTCCTTTAGGGGCCAGCTGTGTCCTCACCCGTCCCCATGCCACTGTGGAAGGCAGGCCACTCTGTCTGACTTCCCCTTTGCCCACTGGGTCTGGCTGTGATGGACTTGGAACCCCAAGATGTGCCAAAAGTTCCTCCCCATGGTCACTTTCCTTCCTGGGGACTGGAGAAAAGTGACAGCCAAGGCCAGGGCCCATCTCTGTGGCCACAGGGCTTATCCAGAATGACTCCATCCCTGTATCCCTCCCCAGGGCAGGAGGGCAGCAGTGCTGACCCTCCTGAACACCCTCCCCCCCAAGTAACCAGCTCTCCCTCCCCCAACACAGTTGGGGACACCACCTGCCCCTCCCTGCCACACCGCCTGTGGTCTCCGCAGCTGCCTCTCATCTCCATCTGCCTCCCCTCTCCTCTCTGCTGTCCTCGGCACCTCTTCCCAGGCCTCTGCCCCCGGTGGGGAAGCTCCTTCCTGGGTCTGTCTCGGTGCTGGGAGGAAAAGGGGGAGGGGGATGGGGTGCTTGTGAGTCAAGGACCTGGCTTTGAGGACACGTCAGGGAGGAGGACACTGGGTGCACCGTCGCCCTGTTGGAGCCTGGATGCTGATGTGCTTTCTCTTCTCCCCAACTTCAGTGTGACTTCTTTAGGCGGACCCGCTACTACCAGATCATGCCTAAGTACCACGCGGTTCGCATCCCGGAGGAAGAGCGTTACCCGCCTCCAGGGGGCGCTGTGCCCACCAAGAAGCACTGGGTCACCAGCTGGCAGACCCAGGACCGATACTACTGATGTCCTCCTGAACCCACGTCCGTCTCCCCATGTCCCTTTCTTCCTATTTATCCTTAAGTTATGCCTCTGACAGCCCACAGGGGCCACCGCCGCTGGCCATCTCCCTGCAGAACTGGCCAAGCCAGCACACTGTGCCCTGAGGCTGGGTGTGCGGGGCAGGACCTGACTGCTCCTGGCTCGTGCTTGGGCAACATGGATGGTGTACAGACGTGCCTTGTGCCAGCCTCTGACTGTGCCAAACCAAGGGCCTCTGCCAAAGCAGGAGGAAAAGGCCCCCTGTGTGGCGACACCTCCCCTCCTTTCACCCTGGGTCCACCCTGAGCCATACCCAATGGACCGACTTTGCTGCCGAGAGTAAACTACTGACCGGGAGCAGCCGGCTGGGCCCAGCTGCAGCTCCCCAGCCCCTGTGCCAAGCGGCTGGGGTCCCGCCAAGGACAGACCAGGGGGCATTTAGGCGACCTGCCTGCTCACACACAGAACAAAGAAGCCGGAAAGCAGGTCCCAGAAAGGCTTTCTTTCCACACTTCCCTGGGACGCCTTTCTCCTGGGCCATGGACCAAGCTGGCAGGGAACACAGCCCAAAGGGACACAGAGACAGCGGGCACGGCACAGATGGGCCACTCCAGCACTGCCCTGGAGCACGGTGGAAGGCTCTGGCTGGTAGGGGACCAACCCTGAGCCGAGCAGATGCTACAGGATGAGGAGATACCACTTCCCGCCCACCCCTTCCATCCCAGCCTCAGAAGTGCCTGAGAGACCCCACAGGATGTTGGAGGGAGTGACGCTTGAATGTAGGACAGGGACAGAGCCCTGTCACTGGCCCAGCTGGCCAGGCCCTACTCTGCCCCCACAGACCATGGAATGGGACCTCCAGGTGGCATTCTTGGCTTTGGCTTTCAGAGCCACTCCCGCTGACCCTCCTGTATGGGCTGTGTCTGAGGCCCACAGCCCTAGAGGCTGGTCCCCAGTACCTCCTCTGGCTGCCCCTCCCCCTCCATGGTACTGTAGCAAGGGGCTCCAGTGCACCCACTTGTGCCTTCTTTGTATACAGGCTTCTCACGGCAACCAATAAACAGCTCCCAGTTTGTATACCTCCCTCTGCCAATCGCACCCCGCCCTTGAAAGCCCCAGTTTTATCTGAATGAGTGATGCTGATGTCACAGAGCAGAGCTCTAGCCAACCAAGGCCGGTGTTGGGGTCTGCAAGGTTTGGGGGGTGATGCTAGTGGGCCCTGCTCATCACAGGCACATAAGTGAGATCTTAGAGTTAAGATGCAGGCAGAATCCTCACTGGGTGTAAGCTACTATGATCCCAGGTAGTCCTGGCCAGCATGGGGGGAAGGTGGGCTGCAGGGACAGAGAGAGAGAGCCCTTGGCCAAGGGCTTAGTTCAGGTGGAATCTGCTTTTCTGTTTCTGTTCTCCATGATCACTCCTGGACTCTTGTGAGGTCATCAGAAGGTGACCTGAGAGGTCTACTCTGCTGGAAGCTCCCCCAGAAGGGCAGGTAGCTACACTGGAATAAGCATCCCCTTTCTGCACCCCTTATTTTCTGGGGCTCTTGATCAGCATCCCCTTCTGTCAAGTCTGTCTTCCTCCATACAGGCCCTGGGAATGGAGCAAGGTTGCCCCCAACACCCTGATTTTGTTGTCCTAAATTGTGGTACAGATCCTCTGGTTGGTTTTCCCTAAGGCTGTGCTTGCCCAGCGTGAACAGTGTCCTGGGTTCAATTCCCAGCACCAGGGAGGGAGACAGGAATGTTCCCCAAGCCTGTGACCTCTAACCATGCATTACTGATGGCTGAAGTTACTGCCCAGCGAAGCAGAGAGCCAGATGGCAGATTCAGCCGCTTCCATAGGCCATAAACCTATGCTTCCTGGGTTCCATGTATCTACCTGGGAGCTACCAAGCTCAGCACTGGCAGCTGCCTGTCTCCACTCCCTCCAGCAAGGCTCAGCAGAACAGAATCCTGGGCTCAGTGTCCTCGCCTCCTCACTTTCTGCACTGGGATCTGCCTGTTCCTGGGATGATTGACAGTGGGCTGTGCAATCCCCCAAGGAAAATCCATGCCCCTGCCCAGAGCTGCCAAGCTCTGAACTCTGATCAGGGACCTTCCTTGTTTTCCGAATCTGGAGTTCACTTATGTGGAAATAACAGCTCATGTGTGTTGTGAGAGTCCAGCCGGTCCTGTGCTTACACGGGCACTTCCTGCTTAAAGAGATTTACCTGTGCTGTACACACACACACACATACACACACCTGCGAATAAATCATTTGCAGGATTAGTGTTACTCTGACTTGAAAGAAATATAAGTGACAGACAGCCACAATACCACCACAACAGGACGCTGCTATGCTACACTTCCCAAGCTCCTTGAAGTGGCAGCCCCTCTACACCCCATCACGGCAATTCTTCCCCTTTTGGGAACAGGTGAGGATGGCACTTCCGGGTTCTGCGTGTTGATGAGGCCATGTGACTAATTCTAGCCAATGAGATCAAGGGGGCGTGACCAATTTTCGGCTGAAGCATTTATTTGGTGCTGGGAGGTTCACTCAGCTCTTCCCCTGAGTTCCACGCCCTGGTATCCTTCGCCGAGAAAAGCTCTGCGTCTCCGAGACACACACACACACACACACACACACACACACACACACACACACACACACACAAACATTGTGCAGGGAACGGGACATTTGGGGATTGAGTCTTAGAGGTCAGTTCACTTGACCTATAGTGGCTACTGCCCTCTACCTGTAAATTCTGTAGAAAATGGATTTTTATCCAGAGCCCACTTTACGGAGGCAGCTCTCAGATGAGGGTCATAGGCAAGCTTTGCTCTGCTCCAACACCCAGCCCCAGAGTCACAGTCTTTTCCTTGTTAATTTAATGTTGACAATAATATTAGTGGCTATTTAGAGCTAGGCACAGGGCTTGTGTATATAATGTCCCATGCGCTCCACCTAGTACTTGAAAACTACCTTCACTGAGGTCACCGACTCACCTCCTAATTGCTAGCTTATCAAGGTTTGGAGTCTTCTTGACATCTCTGGGATATGTCTCCCTGTTAACCCCAATCCTGTTTCACCCTGTCCTCCCTATCACGTGCCAGGTACTGTGCCCGGTCCTGGAGAAACAGCGATAACTAAGACACAGCCTATGCCTTCCTGGAGCAAAAAGTCCAATCAGGAGGCGGATCAGTCAGCAAAACGATATCACCGAGTGTGCTCGGCGCTCACACCTTGCTAACATCAGGGACTGAACGCTGAGTAAGCAGCTGAGATCTGAAGAGTGGGTAGGCGACGTTCAGATATACTCTTGATCGTAACCAAAAGGCTGAGAAGCAATGGAGAGGTGACATTTATAAAGAGCGATCCAGACAGAAAAGACAACATTCGCAATGGTTTGGAGATTAGAAACGCAGTCCAGCAGCAGATAGGTGGGACTGGAAGTTGAGCAGGGGCTAGAGAGAGACCCAAAGCACCTCGTGGCACAAGTGGGAAAGCTCCAGGGAGGAGCGGAGGGAAGCAACGGCCCGATCTATAGTTGAGAATGAACCCCAGTTTTCCTGTTTCTAAACTGGGATTCATAATAGTACAGGCACGCACACAGCGCCTGGCACCGGACAGTTACCCTTCTACTGGGAGTCCTAATCGCATTCTGTAGTAACTTACTTACTTATGCAGCCGCCTCCAAAACTGAGAAATGAAAGAACTGAGGGGGAGGCCGTGTCCTGATCTTGTCTCTCTCTCCTCATCTCAGCACAAAGGCTAACACACACTAAGGGCTAGCCAAAGAAGAGTCCCTCAAAGGCAATGCGGGCTCCAGGCCCAGAATGGGATATATCACGTTCTACCACAAGAGGGCGCGCGACATCTCCTACAGAAGGGGCGGAGCTGCTGGGGGAGGGGACTCCCGGACCCCCCACCACTGCCTCGGTCTAAGGAAGCTGGAGGCCGAGAAGGTCCGTTTCTCAGGTGGTTGCCCGAAACGCCATTGGATTATGTTTAATCAAATGAACTAGATAAGGATAAAAATGGAATTATATCCAAAATTAGTACAAACCATTGCAGCTGTCCCCAACACTGCTAGTCGCGAGGAGTTTGACTCTTTTTGTTTTTCACTCGGAAAAAACCAAACGCCACCTTTTCCAGAGCCACTAGGACCTTTATGGGAGCGAGTGGGTTGCATGCACATAGAACAGATAAGCACAAGCTTGCATTCTGGTTCCGAATTTGTCAAATACTCAGTCTGGGTCAGTCATTCGGACTGGAAGCCACAACACTCCCGTAAGGGACAGACGGAGGAGTCAGGACAGGTGGCTTGGGTACCTCTGGGAGGAAAAGGGGACTCGATGAAAGCTATCCAGACAGGTCAGGCAAGAAAGATTACAAAGCAGCAACAGCAAGTGAAGAACACAAGAGAAGGGGAAAAGCGGGGGTTGCAGAAAGCGAAAGGCCGGCTTCCTCTGGAGAGGAAGGGGTTAACCCAGGGTTCGGCCCTTCAAGGCCGGGGAGGATCGAGTGGTGTCCGCTGTTCCTCCGAAAACAGGCCGGGGGGGGGGGCAGCGAACACAGGGTTAAGGAGGCGGGCCTGAAGGGAAGCCACGTGCCGAGGCGCACGACTATTGGTTCTTCAGGAGTTGTTTGTGCTCGGCTATTGGGCCGTTCGGGGCGTTGCGGCGATTTGATTGGCTGGGTGTTGCAGGGGTCGCCAGGGCCGGGCCGGGAGGAGGCGGTGGGACCGTGTCGCTGGGCCCGGAGAGGGCCGAGCGGGGCTTGAGCTCTACCGGCACGGGGACTGCAGCTGAGTGGCGGACGCCGACGCCATGCGCTGGGTCCGGGCGCTGCTGAAGAATGCGTCCCTGGCAGGGGCGCCTAAGTACATCGAGCACTTCAGCAAGTTCTCCCCGTCCCCCTTGTCCATGAAGCAGTTTCTGGACTTCGGTATGGAGGGTTGGCGAGCCGCGAAAGAAGGGGTCCCAGAAAGGAGGGGAGTCAATCCGAGAGGAGGCCCAGAATGGCAGGGAAGGCAGAAGACTGGCAGGAAGGGGTTAATGGGCAGGCGGGGCTGGCCCGGCCCTGAAAGAGTTGGGGAGGGGGCTGTTAACGGGAAGCTGCGCTGGGTGGGAGGTCTGAGATGTCCTCTGGGGTTTTGGAGGGTAGGGGACAGCGAGGCAGTGATGTCAGGACAGGAAGGGAGTCGGGTCCCAGCCAGCCATAAAAAGCTAACGGGGATTTTCCTAGGCACTCTTAACAGTGGGGACAGAGAGAAAATAGAGGGGCTTCGAAGGGGGCTCGCAGGTGGGAGGGATGAGGTGGCGTTGGAAGGTACAGCCATCTGGAAGGAGACCTGGGTGGACCTGAGAGTCAGACCGTGGAGGACAGAGCAGGAGAGAAAACCCCAGCCAGCTGCCGCAGGGGGCTCTTCTAGAGGGGGCTGCCGCCCGGAGCCAGCGCCCCTGACTGGTGCTCCAACACCCATCCCAGCTTCCTAGTGGGAAGGACACTTGAAGATCAAATCTCTTCCAGCTGGCAGCCGGTGCCCAGCTGGGCGGAGGCCCAAGCCAGCATGAGGTGGGCAGGCTGCTCGGACTCTCCCTTGGCTGCCCATGGGTCTGACTGCCCACTGCCATATTGCAGAGGTGGCCCTGGGGCAGGAGGAGGGTGGTGCCAATGTGGCAGCCCATACAGATTCATGTGGATCTGGCTGTCAACAGGGTATTTCCATGGTGCCAGCTAGGGGTTGGAGGGAGGGCCCAGGCTAAATGACAGTGGCTGGCTTAGGTTACAGCTACATCACTGACCCTACAGGGCAGGGAGGTGGCAGCCAAGGTAAATGGCACCTGTGTCTTGCTGCCCCCTCCTCTGTTTGAGCTTTGCCCATGCAGGAAAGTCTAGGCCTAACCCGGCCCTGTACTGGATGCCGTTACAGAGCTGTCACAGCTGTGAGGGGTTCAGTCTGTTTTACAGTAAGAGGGCAACTGAGGCTTTCAAAAGAATGGTGGCATCCCCTGAGTGACAGAGTTGGAAGCAAATTCTAGACAAACCTAGGTCTGCCTCTGGGCTGAGACCTCATTAGCCCTCTGCCTCCTCCTCTTGACCACTGCCTCACAGATGGGCACTGATACAGGGACAGCTCCACAGTGGGCACCCATCACCTTGCCAGCTTGGTAAGATGGCCTGGGACAGGGACAGCGCTGGGTGCCTGCAGCAGTAGGAGCCTAGGCATAGCTTCCCCTGCCAGGGCCCAGCCCCAGGAGAATGGCATTCCCAAGCACCCCTACTCCAGGGATCAGCCCCAGCACAAGTGCTGCTGGGAGGGAAGAAAAGCTGTCTGGTGCCCATGGTTTCCAACTGTGGACTCACCCTCTTGTGCCACCTCCAGGGTCCAGCAATGCCTGCGAGAAGACCTCCTTCACCTTCCTCCGGCAAGAGCTGCCCGTGCGCCTGGCCAATATCATGAAAGAGATCAACCTGCTTCCCGACCGGGTGCTCAGCACGCCCTCAGTGCAGCTGGTGCAGAGCTGGTGAGATTCCTCCTGCCCTACTGCCCTGTCCCTGGGCTGAGTCTCCACACCCAAAGCAAGGATGGGGCCCTGCAAGAAGCTGGGAAGTTACCCCAGGACACACAAGGATCCAGGCCAGAGCAGGGGCAAAACCAGGCTCTCAGGGCCCTGTGTCTGGGCCCTTCTCACCTTCCTGTTCTAGGAACCCGGGACCTGCCCAGGAAGTCAGATTTCACAGCCAAAATCCCAAGGTGGGCTGCTGTCAGCAGTGGCCCCCAGCCCTGGGCCTGTCAGGCAATGTTTACTTAAGGTAACTTTTGGGGAAGCAGAAATGCAAAAAAAGTAATCTTAAAGCAAATGATACCAACCTAGCCACCCATCTGACTGCTTTAAATGTCAGAAAACTCTTGCTTAGACCTGAAATAACATAGTCCTCCCCAAAGCACTTAGGAGGGCAAAGACCTTGCTGGTAGCTGTTTCAGGAACAGGGAGTCTCAGCAAAGTTCACCTGGGGCGCTGTCTGGGGTTAAGTAATGAACTTCGTCAGCCAGTGGCCTGTCACATGGAGCGTAAACAAGAGACCGGCCTGTCCTTGGCCGTGTCACTGTTGGTGGCGCCCTGGCAGATCCCTGGTCTCAGGCCTTGCTGTGTGGGGTGACTGGTTTCCTCTTGGACTCAGTGCACCTGTGCCCCCTCTGAGCCCAGCACCACGCAGCGTCTGAAACAAAAGCACCAGCTGCACCGGGTAGCCCATGACCTCACGGAAAGGAAACTCCAGCCAAGACAAGTCGAGCGAAGTGCAACCTGGACAGCTGGTTTTATGTAAATGGACAAAGTACTGAAGTCACATGGATTGCTTCTACCAACACACACCCCTGACCACTGTAGATGCCCAATGTATTCATTTCGACACTTGGAAAACCTAGATGGAGTGGGGCATAGTGGTGCATACCCATCACCCCAGCACTCTGGGAAGTTGAGGCAGGAGGATCCCAAGTTCCAGCTCAGCCTGGGCAGTTTAGCAGCTCAGCAAGTCCTTGTCTCAAGATAAAAAATAACAAGGGCTGGGGAGGCAGCTTAGCATAAAGACCCTGGGTTCAGTCCCCATGTAGAAGAAAACAGCCATCTGCCCTTCCCCAAGCTCCCGCCCCCTGCCAGCACCTCTCTGTGTGTGCACTTGACTTGACTGTAAGGGAATGTGTTGCACGCACAAGGCCAGGTGTGTAGTAGGTACAGTGAATGCTGCCCACACCTGAAGTTGTAGGAAGGTTCAAATGGACATGAGAGGTACCCAGAGCAGAGAGAAAGACCTGGCCAGGCCACCCAGGGACTCGCTCTGTGGACAGTGGCTATACTGCGGGGCCAGGTCACCCCTCACTGTACCCAGGACCTCTGAGCCAACCGACAGGTCCCACCACGGGGTGGCAGAGCAGGGGAAGGGAGCAGAAGGTGCCATCTGTTCTCCCGGCTGTGTGCGGCTCACTGCCCTGGCTGCTACTCTAGCTGGTGCCTGACTCCAGGACAGGGCTTCTTAGCCTCCTTCCTGGACGTGGTGCCCCTGGGACAGCCGAGGATGCTGGGGGAGGGCAGGGGTTCTGGAGTCCCCCTGGGTCCCCCAGGAGGCCTATAGGCCCCTTCCCTGGCATCAATGGCACACGTGAGGGGTTGATGCCTGGAAGCAATGTGAAAGGGCACTTCCCTGGTGGGCGAATCAGCTCGGAGAAGAGTAGCCAGGGGCCTGCTAGGCGTCCGTGTGCTGAAGGAATCGACTTGCTTCGAGTGTTCAGAGCCAGGGGCATCAGCTCCAGCAAGAGAGACTGCGGTGGGCAGCAGGAGGGTCTTCCAGAGGGGGCAGGTAATGGCCTGTAAGGGCTCAGAGCACCTTCTCCAAGAAAGCTGGATGGTGGGCGTGGCGAAGTTCTGAAAGAGGAAGAAGAGGCGACTCAGGCGCTACTAGCCTGTGTGCAAATAGCTAAGCTAAGCACTAAGCGAGCTTCTTGGCTGGGGACGGGTTCTGGGCAGTCACCATCAGTGAAGAATCTCTGCTTCTGAGTAGATCCGATCCACCATTTCCACTGGGGCAGACTTGGGGTGGCAGGACTGTTCTTTGGAGGTGATAGGCGGGTGGGGGAGAGCCCTTGGCTTCCCCTCAGCATGTGTCACTTTATGTCTTGTTAGGCATTTAGTCCTTGGCAAACACTTGGGTGTCTCTGAGCCTCAGGTTCCTCGTCTGTGAAATGGGACCTCTGTGGTTTCTAAGGTCAGAGGCCATTGCTAGTTGCAAAAGTGTGCAAGGTCCCCAGGCCTCTGGGCAGCAACATCTCCTCAGGCCCAAGGTGATGTCACGGTGGGCATCATGGAAGTTTCTGAGGCAGGGCCGTCATAAGTGACCCGAGGGTGACCAGAGGAATCACTGTGTCCTGGGAGCTATTTGGGGTTCTCACCACAGGCGTCTGTTGTGGGCTTTGCCTGTGACCCCCACTTTCCAGATAAGAAATAGGCTTAGAGAGTGAAGAATCTCACAAACATCACTGAGGAACTAGGTGGCAGAGCTGGGATTCGACCCCTGGCTGTTAGATTCCGGGCTGCATTCTGGAAGGGGCAGGAAGGGGGCTAAACTGTGAGACAGTGACCTTTGCAAGCTTCTGCATGAGTCCGATTCCAGGGGAAAGTAGGGTTCACTTCCGGAAATTCCAGGGGGTGGAGGCAGAATGGGCCCTAGCTCCGTGTTGAGAGCAGGACAAGCCCGAGGGATGGCAGTCAGTCTCCCCAGCCACCAGCAGAGTCTGCGGGGGCTGGAGGAAGGGGGCAGGGCTAGCGCCTTCTTGCCAGCCTCCCTACTGTCAGCATGGTGTGTGTACCCCACCTCATGGAGAACCCCACTCCCACCCCAGGACCCCATCCAGTCCCTGGCTGGCAGAACAGGTGGGGTCCTGCTGCTTCCTGGCCCATGGGGAACAGTCACCCAGAAGGGGACAGCAGGGGCAAGCGTGTCCTGGCATCATCTCCTCTATACCCTGTCTGTCCCACCAGAGGCTTCCTGCTGGGAACCCCACATCACAGTTGAGCAGAGCAGCAGCTGGCCTCCAGAATACAGCCTGCCTGAACCCAGCCCCACAGCCAGCTTCCCCCAGCCCCACTCTGCGCCATCCTAACAGCTGTGGGCACTGGAGTGCAAGCTTTTACACACACACCCAGGCAGGCACGCTGCGTGTTTATGGATTTACACACACACACACAGTAGGCACTCCCACCTCTCCCTGCCCATCCCCCTCCACTCACCCACTGCACCCCTCTCTCCCTGTGCCCTACATCCCTCCTCCTGCCTTCCTGTCACCTGGGGCTGCTTAGAAACTCAGATCGCCCTGAGGAGCTGAGGCTTCCCTGTTTTTTTGTTTTGTTTTTGTTTTTTGTATCAGGAATCAAAATCACAACCTCGCACTTGCAGGGCAGGCCCTGTGCTGGGCCAGCCTCCCTGTGTTGGCTTGGGCCCTGCCGCCTGCTCTGCCTGGGCCTGCTCCTTCCTAACTCTGGCACAGTTGTGGCCTGGGAGCCAGCGTGACCCCACCCCTGGGGTTTTCTCCCTGGGGACTGGGTATGGCCTGAGGTAGCATCTGGAGTCCCAGGGCCCTGGGATCCTCAGGGCAGGTGCAGGGTCCCCTCTGTCCTCTCGTTCAGTCCTAGAGGTGCATCTGGGCCACTCCCTTGCAGCCTGGCCTGTGAGGAGTGGCCAGGGCCTCCACATCTTGCAGTCCAGGGCACGGAGGCTTGCAGCGGCCACCTCCCAATCCCTGTGCTGGTGGCACTGCCCGCTGTCAGCCCATCCCAGCGTTCTGTGCTTCATGTCAGTGGCCACGGGACCAGGCCCACTTCTGCCCTTGAAGGTTCACTGGACAGCCCTGCCACTGGACTCTGGAAGTCTGGCCTGCCCGCCCCCACCACTGGCCAGCAGGGCAGGGAGCAGCCCGTGTCCCTGCCCTGACCTCTTTGTCCCCCTCCGGCCCTGAGTCTCAAGACAGGTCCTGTGCCCCCTGCCTCCCCATTTGCCCCTTTCTGCATGCTCACACGTGCTCTCCCACATCCCCTGCCCTTCTAGGACTCCTGGGAGCTCCATGCTTGGGAACACAGGATTTAGGGTCTGGCCAGGTGGGGGGGAGAGAACCCCAGAGCTGCACACTGACTTTGCCCTCTGGAAGCTTCTTAATGGTGGTGCCAGTTCCTCACAGGGTTACTGTGGGAGGGTGTGGTGGTGGGGCACAGCACCCTTGGGCCAGTGTGAACGCTGAGCACCCAGCCCCATGCAGTAAGGAGGCCCTGGGTTAACATCCTGGCCTGCTTTTCTCTGTAGCTGGGCAGACCCATGCCCTGTCTGAGGCAGTCCGTCATGCTCTGGGGAGGTCCAGGCTGTGCCCATTCCTGCACCCTGAGGTGCCACTGTCTAGGGCGGGGTGGGGTGGGGACTGCCTGGAGCTCAGGGCTTTCTCTCAGCTGGTGACAGTTTTTGAGCCACCAGCCTAAAAAGAGCAAGCATCCAAAGAGTGCTCACTGTGTATGGACACTGCTTGATTTCCTAATGAAGAAAGTCAGGCCCAGAGAGGTTCTGTGACTGACCCATGGCCACACAGCTAGACTGAAAGCCAGGACTGAGACCTGGCAGAGCCACTCCAAGCCAGTTCTTTCACCCTCTCTCTGCTGTTTTAGCAAGAGCAGGAAGCACATTCTGGGCTGAGGAACAGCATAAACCGATGCAGGGCGCAGTGTCAAGCAGACACTAGTCCTCTCTCTGGTCCAGGCCTCTGTCTCCCGATCTCCAGCCCTCCCCAGCTTTTGATGAGAGAATTCAGAAGCAAAGGCACTAAAAGGGGTCCAGCCAACTGCAGGTTTCCTTGCATGGCTTGCTAGGTTGTCAGGGAGACTCGGGGCAGATGACACGGCTGGAGAAACGCCGCTGTTGTCACCAGGTCCAGCTCCGTGTGGCGCCCACTGCAGGATCAGAACAGAATGAGGTCTGGTGAGGGGTGAGGGGGATCACTGCTCAGCACACAGTTGAGCCCGCGTCCCCTCCTGCCCACCCCCCACCCCCCGCCCAGGTATGTGCAGAGCCTGCTGGACATCATGGAGTTCCTGGACAAGGACCCCGAGGACCAACGCACCCTGAATCAGTGAGTGAGACCCTGGCCGGGCCAGAAGGCAGGGGCAGTCGGGGACAGAGCTCAGGAGGAAGGCCCTGGGTTCATCCGCTGTGGGGAAGACAAAAGAAGAGTCAGGGCGGGAGCCGGGTAGAATGAATGTCTGCCTTCCCTGCAGGTTCACGGACGCCATGGTGACCATCCGGAACCGCCACAACGATGTGGTGCCCACCATGGCCCAGGGCGTGCTGGAGTACAAGGACACCTACGGCGACGACCCTGTCTCCAACCAGAACATCCAGTACTTCCTGGACCGCTTCTACCTCAGCCGCATCTCCATCCGCATGCTCATCAATCAGCATAGTGAGCCACGGGGCGGGGCCCGGCAGGGGCGGGGCCATGATGGGCGGGGCCATGATGGGCGGGGCCCCTTGCTCTGGGTGAGGGCAGGGTGCCCTTGCTCTGGCCGAGGTCACTGGCTCCCAGGAAGTCTCCAGTTGTTCTTTGGGAGTTGAGCAGGAACTCATGATGAGTGTGATTTGTCAGCAGTCACAGCGAATCCTGGAAAGAAACTTAACAAATGTTTGGAAGTCTTTTTTTTTTTTTTTTTTTTTTTTGGTACCGAGACGCTTGCCAGGCAGGCACTTGCGCCACTGAGCTATATTCCATCCTTGTAACAGAAGTTTTTCAGAGTAGTAAAATTATGTACACCTGTAATCCCAGAATTCTGGGAGGCTGAGGCTGGAGAATGCAAAATTTGAGCCCAGCCTAGACAGTTCAGTGATTTAGTGAAAGCCTGTCTCAGAACTAAAAAGAAAAAATAGAAAAGGTCCGGGGGTGTAGCTCACTGTAGAAGCGTCGACTTCAGTCCCTGAACTGAAACCAAACTGAACCAAACTGAACCTAAAAAGCAGCACACTCAGGTCTGCAAAGGCCCCAGAAGGCCGAGCTGCTGGTGCTCAGCAGGACGGGAGGCTGTGCCTTTAAGGATGGGAGTTTATGGTTGGGGTGACGGTGGGACAGCCTGGGAAAATGGGGCCAGGACTGGTGTGGCTCAGCCAGCAGCACCCGCCTTCCTCCTGCAGCCCTCATCTTTGACGGCAGCACCAACCCGGCCCACCCCAAACACATCGGCAGCATTGACCCCAACTGCAATGTGTCCGAGGTCGTGAAAGGTGAGCCCTCTTCCCAGCTCTGCCCTGGAGGGGAGCCCCACACTGCCCTGGCCAGAGGGCGACCCACCCCAGCAGCGGGGCTCCATCCCCATGGGAGGGATATCAGCGTTAGCCAGTATCAGTGCTGGTGAGCTGCCCCCCACACACACTGTGCCCCGAATGGCCCCATCTCCTCTCAGATGCCTACGATATGGCCAAACTCCTGTGCGACAAGTACTACATGGCCTCACCTGACCTGGAGATCCAGGAAGTTAATGGTGAGTGTAACTTGGTGTGTGTGGCTATCTTAGAGGGGCTGGGACCCAGGAGACTGAAGTGAGATGGGACTCAGGGTATGGGCGGCTTCCTAGATTGGGGAGCCCTGAGCTACAGTGGTTATTAACTCCTCGGGCGAGCCGGGTGTGTGGTGCATGCCTATAATCACAGCACTCCGGAGGCTGAGACAGGAGGACTGCTAGAGTTCAAAGCCAGCCTGGGCTACATAGTGAGACCCTGCCTGCCTCAAAAAAAAAAAAAAAGAAAAGATAGATAAAAGAACATCTTTAACTCACCAGGCAGCTGTTTATTAAATACTTGGTAAACATTTATCAGAAACAAGACTGGCCAGGTCCCAAGACTGGCCAACCCTCTCTGAGGGTTGCATTCCTGGTGCTGGGAAGGTTGGAGAAGGGGGATCTTTAACCAAGACCAAGTAAACAGACAGGACCAATTCAAGTCCTGAGGACAGCAAGGTGACACAGGAGTCTCTTAACGGGGATCATGTGCCCAGTTCCTGGCCATGGTGGGGCTAGGGAGTGTGTCTGTCACTGAAAGAATGGAGGAAGGGGACAAGGGTGACCCTGGAGGAGGCGGTGGGCGCAAGCTCTGGTTTCCTGACTTGGCCTTGACGCTCGCAGCCACCAACGCCACCCAGCCTATCCACATGGTCTACGTCCCCTCCCACCTCTACCACATGCTCTTCGAACTGTTCAAGGTGAGGAGGCCAGGCGGCCCTTTGAGGGGAGGTCGGGGTGTTGGCCTTTCCCAGGGGGCACCGCTGGGGTGGCCCTTCCCTCAGCCTGTGCCTCCTCGTTCCCTCCCAGAATGCCATGCGGGCCACCGTGGAGAGCCACGAGTCCAGCCTCGTTCTACCCCCCATCAAGGTCATGGTGGCCTTGGGCGAGGAAGATCTGTCCATCAAAGTAGGTGACCCTTGCCCACGGGATGGGGAAGAGGATGGGCTGGGCGAGAGGAGGGGATCGGGTGGGGTACTGACACAGCCCCTGTCCCCTAGATGAGTGACCGAGGTGGGGGTGTCCCTTTGAGGAAGATCGAGCGTCTCTTCAGCTACATGTACTCCACAGCCCCCACCCCACAGCCCGGCACTGGGGGCACCCCACTGGTGAGACTCCTCATCCCGTCCCCGCTGGATGCTACCCCTGCCATCTCGTCATCCAGGCCTCCTGGCCCTTGCACCCCACCCCACCTGTACATGGCCACCCGTCCACCCCGAGTCTGTCTGTCTGCCCTCCTGTTGCCCTTTTTCATCCTTCCTGTGCCCTCCATCCTCCCACAGTCTAGCCTTTCCTGCAGTGGTGTTCAACTTGCTAACTCTCCTTGTCCCTCCTGTGCGGTAGGCAGGGCCAGGCTTGGGAAACTGAGGCTCAGAGGAGCCGGAGGCCAACCCCTGTCTATCCAGCCTTCCTCCCTACGCCCCACCTCACTCAGCCCCACCCACCCCCCAGTTCCAGGACCCCTGCAGGAGCACTGGTCCTCCACCGTCACATTTCCTGTTCCCACAGGCTGGCTTTGGTTATGGGCTGCCCATCTCCCGACTCTATGCCAAGTACTTCCAGGGCGACCTGCAGCTCTTCTCCATGGAGGGCTTCGGGACCGACGCTGTCATCTATCTCAAGGTGAGGCCCGCTGGAGAAGGGGTGCTGGCAGACAAAGCCATAGCTGCTGGACACACACCCCAGTCATGCCAGCGTGGCAGCATGGGGCAGCGTGGGGCATTCCAGGGAGCCCTGTTAGACTGGGCCAGGGAGGGGATCGTGGAGCTCTTATCGGTCAGCTCAGCGGGAAAGCCCTAGGGTGGTGAGGTGACCTGGATCAGGCTCCTCCTCTTCCTCCCTGACCCCCCAGGGGGGCAAGAGCAGGGCACAGAGGAGACAGACCCTGTCACAGGTCTCAGCCAGCATCTGGTGGCTGAGCCAACTCTGACCTGGGGTGGGACGCTGGGACCTCCTCTGGAGATCACTGACGCTGCTGCCCCCCAGGCCCTGTCCACCGACTCGGTTGAGCGCCTGCCGGTCTACAACAAGTCCGCCTGGCGCCACTACCAGACCATCCAAGAGGCTGGTGACTGGTGTGTGCCCAGCACAGAGCCCAAGAACACTTCCACATACCGGGTCAGCTAGAGGCCACCTGCACCCGCACGCAAGAGGATGAACTGCTGTCTCTGGGTCTGGCCACCACGGGGGACCCTCGCCGCCCCTTCTTCCGGAGGTGGAGGTGGGGGTATCCTCTTGATGACCAGGTTCTGTCTCTGTGGAAGTCGCTGCGGTGACCGGTTGGTGGTAGTTCCTAAGTGCCAATCTGTCTCCATGGAGATGCCTAGGTGGTCCCCTGGGGTCCAGTCTATATGAGTGATGCCTGGGGCTGGGGTTCACAGCTCTACCCTGGTAATATGTCCCCAATGCCCTGTCCCATGGTGGTCACTCTCCTGCCAGGGGCCCTGGGTCCCCCTCACTGCCCACCACAGCCCTGGTCTTCCAAACAGCTGCCCTGCTTGCCTTACTGTCCACCATCAGGACACACTGCCCCGGCCACTGTCAGCATCAGGCAGGGTCCAGGTGGCCCCAGACCTGGGAGTGGATGGGAAAGGGGGTGCACTCTTGGTCCCAGGTCACAGATCTGGCCTTAAGAGTTTCTCCCTCTTCTCTGGGCATTAAGATCAAAGTTGGCAGGCGGGGTGGGCACAGCTCATCCTAAAGGGGAGGAACCCAAGAAGCCTCAGTGGTCACCTGCCCAGCCAAGGAGCCTCAGATGACCTTGGCCGTGGTGGAAGTGCCTCCCGTGCCCTTGCCCAGCATGTTGCACATGCACAGCCCTACCTACCTGCCACAGCACACCCACCCTGTCCTGCCTGTGCCCAGCCCCCTGCCCGGCAGCTCCTCCCTGGGATGTTTTCTGTACATAACTAGTTTTTTAACTCTGGATACTGCCCCACCCCTCTCCCCCTAGCACACAGGAGGTTAAAGCTGTGTGCCCCTCCTAGTGGCTATGACAGTGACATCTACAGTAAAGAGGAGATTGAATGAGACAGTGGCCTCGGCTCAGGGGGACACTAGGGGAGGCCATCCACTCGTGCACGCGTACAGGTGACCAACACACAGTGTACTTGGGACCTGGCCCCACTCAGGACCTGCCCCACGTGCACCACGGGCACAGTGCCAGCACAGCCACCCCCTCAGGACACCCGACAGCCTGGCACCCGAGGGCAGGCCTGATGCCCCACCACACTCAGAACCCCAGGCGGGCAGATAGAGAAGCCACTGGCACATCGTAAGTGTTTATTGAGAAATTGAGAACCACTTCCCCCTCACATGCAGGTGGGCACCCACTGTGGCTCCCGACAGCCCCAAGGACAACGCCAGTGCCTCCCAACCTCCCCATCAGCCCCTCTGCCAGGCTGGATGGTGCCAGCACTCAGTATCTAGAATCCCTCTAGTCCCCCCTCCCAGCACAGATGGCCCAGAGGGAAAAAGGGCTGATTCTGGGGACGGGGCCTGGCCCTAAGCCATAGCCCTGGGCAGGACGAGGGTGTCAGCATGCATTGGTTCTGTTCAGATGGGAGAGTGGAGAAGTTCCCATCAGGAACTTTCCCCTGGGTCCCACCGGTGACTGACTGGTGTCCCTGGAAGCAGGGCTAGCAGCTGGTCAGCGCGGCCCTGCACTGTCTCTAGCCATCTCCTGAGCAGGACCGCTGCCCACCCCACCCCCTAGGCTACTGATAAATTCCACCCCTGCTAGTGAACCAGAACCTGCACTGAGGCCTGACAGTGGCCAGGGACAGCTAATGAGGCCCCCCCCTCAGTCCAGCAGCTCCTAGGTGATGCTCCAGGTTCTTTGCCTCTATCTGGCTACAATGAAGGCTCAGGGGGCCCTTCTGTCCTCAGCAGCTCCCACATTTGCTGTGTCCCCAGAGAGGGCTCAGGTGCACTCTGAGGGAGCAGGAGGAGGAGCAGGCCCTGACTTGGAGAGCGGGTCAGAGGCCCTGCCCCATCCTGAACAGCCCTTCCAGGAGGACAGATGTGTATGTGTGGGTGCCATTCCACCCACAGGAACCTAGAGAACAGGGGAGCGGTTGTCGGCCTCCTATCTCCCTCCGGAAGGCCCCAAACAAGCTGTCCCTTGGAGATGCTGGTTGGGAGTCTACCCTGAGTGTGACTCACTACCCACTGTGGCCACCTCGGAGGGATATAGCTCTGTCATCTGCCCCTGAAGATGCCCAGCCTTCTCAGAGCCTGGGGACCCTGGCCTTTCATAAGACCCCTAGGGGACAGGCAGGCAAGCACCCTAGTGCATTCCAGCCCAGCAGCACCTGGGTCAGAGGCAGAGGGTCAGCCAGAGCCATGGGCACCTGGGCTCGCTTCGGCCTGGGCCTCTCTGCCTCTTTCCTTTATCTGTCTCCCTCAGGAACTGTGCCAAGCAAGTCCTGGAAATCAGGTTTATTTCGGGGCCCTCTCCCTGGGGTCTCCCTCCCGGGGACTCTGGGTCCAGATGGGGAGTGGGGTGCGAGCCCCGACAGTGTGGGTCCAGGCCAGCCCAAGCCTGGCGCAGGCCCAGCCTTCTGGTGAGGCCCGTGCTCGCCACGAGCAGGGGCAGCCGTGCCCAGTGCGCGCGCCCTGCCGCCCCCTAGCTCTTCTTGGCCTCCTGCTCGCGCCGCCGGAGCTTGTCCCGCTGCCGCGCAGCCTTCTCCTGTGCCTTGCGCTCCTTCTCCGCGGCCGCCGCCAGCTCCTTCAGCTTCCGCTTCACCAGCGACCGGTCATGCGCGTTGCTGAGGCCCAGGCTCTGGGGAGGGATCCCAGGGGGCTGAGGGGAGCTCACCGGGCCATCTGGACACCCACCCAGTCTGGCTTCCTCCTGCCTCTTAGTGATCCCTGCAGAGCTCTGGGGTCATCCCAAAAGTGTGGCCTCCTCCTCCTCATCTTCCTTTTCCTCTTCCCATCCCATGCCATGATCTGTCCTGCCCAGATCTGGAATGGGAGTGGCTGGAGAAGAGAACTGAGCAAACCAACCGGGAAGTCCGGCAGAGGTCAGAGGCCTCCCCGCTACATGACCCACACAGTCACTGCCCCCTCAGGATGAGAATCAGTCACCGGGAGCCAGGCCTTGCTTCTCATAACCCCGGGGGGAACTCAGTCCCGAAGGACAAGGTCAGCAAGGAGCAGAAGTCAGATGAAGTGGGGGGCTTGAGTTTCAAGTCAGGTGGGGGATCCCCAGTGAGAGGGCAAAGATTAGACAAAGACCTTGCCTGAGGTTAGAACTCAGTGTGGTGGGTAGAAGGGGTGTCCAGATCAGCCGAGGATGTGGGGAGGGGCTGGCAGCAGAGGTCAGGATAAGAGTCACTGATCTCATGGCTCCACGCAAGGTCATGACGCTTGCACTGAGACCTACCTTCAGTTTACTGCCGTCCAGCTGCAGCAGCTGTGGCCCGTCCACCTGCCGGGCAGCAAACTCAGCAACATACTGCTCCAGGCTGAGGCTTTGTAGCCACTGGCCCACCTGCTGGCTGGTCCAGTGCTGGACGGCAGGGAGAGGTTCGTCCAGGAACTGAGCAGAGAGCACAGGACTAAGGGGGCTGGGCCCGCACACTGGACCCCACGGGAACACGGGCTGGCGCCACTCACCTCATCTGAAGACTGGGACAGCGTGTGGTAAGGGTACGAGCACTTGGCCTCCTCTCGAGGGCCACTCGGGATCCTGGGGCTGCTGCTGGGTGGCGTGGAGTCATCACTCAGGGTGGATTCCTGGATGGGAAGGCTTGAGTTCACCCTCAAGCCAAGGGACCCCCTCCCGGCCTCCAAACCCACTCCACCTAGATGGGGCTTTAGTCCTAGCCTAGGCCTCAAAGTTGCTGGGTGTCCCTGTGTGTGAAGCAGGAGCTAGGAGCAGACAGGATGGGCCTGGGGCCCCGTGTGAGCCATCAGGATGTGAAGGTAGGCAGCAACCCCGAGAACCCGGAGGGCTGGGCCAGGTGGAAGTCATCGGTAGACACTCCTTCCTGCAGGCAGCCCCCTGGGATTCCCCGAGGCTGGGCCAGGTGCTGTGGGTATGCACCTCTCACCCAGCCGCTAGCTCCATGGCTGGCATCTGACCTCCCTGGGCTATGCCTTGATGGTATCCCTGGGGCCCAGCACAGGAAAAGGAAAGAAGTGAGGACAGAGGAAGGGGTTTGTGTGAGTCCTGGGTCAATCTGTCCTCTCCAGGCCTGCACCTGCTCTCTGCCCAGTGGGCAGGAGAGTCCTGCCTCACTGTTAAAGCAAAAACAAGTATTGGGGGGCTTTGTACACTGTCTGGTGCCCTGTGCACAGGCGCAGATGCCCCAGGCTGCCTCTGCTCCTCTGTCTTGTGTCACAAAGCTATGAGTTTAGAGCACCAAGCTGGGGTGCTGTGCTGCTCTATCTCGGAAGCTTCACCCACCCGCCAGGTGGCCCGGAACTGTGCCAGACAGAACAGTCAGTCAAACCGGGCCTGGAGACAGACTGGGTGGAGGGAGGGGCCCCGCATTCAGAGTGAAGCAGGCAGTGAATGAATCCAGGAATGAATTCCTTAGACTGTGAATGAGTGCGCCAAAGAATGAATGAATGAATTTGGAGGAGGAATGAAGGAACAGGCCCCTGGGTGGTTCCCTGCGTGAACAAAAGGACTGCAGGGAGGCCAGGATGCCAGCCGACAGTGTGTCCCACATCACCCGAGTCTCAGGGCCAGTAGGGGGACAAGGAAATCCCAGGCTTACCTGGGAGGCTGACTTCTTAGGGCTGAAGCCCTCGTGTTTCGGGGAGCAGGCCGGGGAGGTGGTGCTGCCTGAGGATGCTGAGCCCTTGCCACTGTCTGTGAACCAGGAGAAGGGCAGAAACGGGGAGGCCCCTGACCTGCCGGAGCCCTCCACCGACTCCCTGTGGAGAGAGCATCCAGGCCCGCATGGGTGTGGGCGTCCAGGGCAGTGCAGGCCAGGGCGGGCTGCCGGGGATACCTCTTACCTGCTGCCCATGGACAGCCGGTTGCTGCCCTTCTCCTTCCGGCTTTTGCCAGTGGATGCCCGGCGGAGGGTGACCCTGTGGGATGGGACGGAGGGAAGTGGACAGAGCTATCCACGGTGCCACCCTCACCCCTGCCCTCTGAGCCCTGTGCCCAGCACTGTCCACTCACTCACCCCAGGTCCAAGAACTTCCGGCGCGTCTTCTTGTCCAGGCCGATGGTGGGGCTGGCGGGCTCGGGTGGGCTGGCATCCCGGCTGTCATCTTTGGGGAAAGAGGGGAGGGAACAGCCAGAGTAGTGGCTTGCTGGGGGGGTTATAGGGAGGGCTGAGGGGCTCTCTCGACTTAGAAGCAGGCAACTGGCTGTGGTGCTGTCCACTTGCTGAGTGACTCCTCTGAGGTTCCTGCACCCCAAGTTTGAGGATAAATGACACCGCCCTTTTCGTGGTACCAAACGCGATGCTCGGGAGAGCCTTTTACACTGTGAAGCTCTCCACAAACGCTGACACCGGGACCACTGCCCCTAACTGTTAATTATGTCCTGGTTGTTTCTCTCCTAAAACGCACACCCCAGAGGACTGGGCGCCTCGATGGGGTCTGTGCAGGGTCCGCACGGTTCCGGTGCGGCCCGACAGGGGGCGCCGCCCTCACCTTCGCTGTGCGGCTCTGCGCGCTGGTGGCGGCGCACGAAGCTGGGCGAGCTGTCCGAGGAGGGCGCGGAGCGCGGCGGCGATCCCGAGGCGGCGGCGAGGCCCTCGTGTGACGCGGCGTTGTGCAGGGGCCGGTAGCGCGCCAGCGGCGAGGGCGGGGGCTCGTCTTCGTCCAGGCTGCGGCGCAACCCCGGGGGCTCCAGGCAGAAAGAGCCGCCAGCCGGGGAGCCCGGGCCCGAGTGCAGAGGGGAGCGGAGCCGGTGCAGCGGGCTCCCGCAGCTGTCGGTCACCTAGGGGGGAGGGGGGGACACCGGGTCACTCTGGCCGGGGCGCCTGAGATGAGCGCTTCTGGGACCTTCAGGGCAGGTTTGCTTGTGCCCTGGGCAGGGGTGAGGTCTGCCTCCCTTGAATAGAATGGTTACTGAACTCTCCTGCCTCCACTTCAGGGTTAAACAGGGTGGTGCCTTGCTCAGAGAGGAGGTGTGGGCCAGAGTTTGATGGATTCCTATGCCAGAAGCCCGAGGCAGAGATGACCCAGGGGCTGGAGCTCTGTGTGTGTGTGTGTGTGTGTGTGTGTGTGTGTGTGTGTGTGTGTGTGTACACGCCTTGTCCCCACCTTGCCTCCAGGCCCATCAGAGCCTTCCCCGTCCTCCGCAGAGCTGGCACTGTCCCGAAGCCTGGAGCGGGAGGGCCGGTGTCTCCGGCCCTTGGCCAGTAGCTGGGCCCGGGCCTTGTGTAAACTGCTGTCCAGTCTGGCGGTCTCTGGCACAGCCAAGTCCAGGTCTGCAAATGGGATGAAAAGGGCAAAGGCCACAGGCTGGGAACCAGCCAGGGCAGCTCAGGGACACAGCACAGACCACCCTGCCTGGAGTTCACTGCACCATCTGGGTCCTAACATTTATGTAGGAGTCTGCAAGTGAGGGGGAAGGAGGGACACAAGGTGACACCTCCAGGTGTTCAGGCACTGGGAGGAGGAGGAGGATGGGGGAGAGGGGACACGAGGCTGCAGTGACCATGTGGCTCAGAGAGGTCAGGTCTCTTGATTGAAGCTATCAGCTGGAAACAGCCTGGGGTTTCAGCCTGGCTGTCCCCTGCCAGGGACACCTTCTTGCTTTGCCACACTCAGCTGACATTCAGGGTTAGCACTGTTGAGCATGTTGGGGGGGCTGCAATGAAGCAGGGCCAGGAGACCCCCACTGGCCAGTGGCCGTGGCCGTGGCAGGAAGAAGTCCTCGGGCCTCTGAAGCCTGCCCCTGGCATCCTGGGGTCTGTGGTTCCCAGCTAGATCCCATGCCAACCTGGAGGGAGGGAAGGTGGACCCTGTGGGTGGTCACAGTGTCCCAGTCCTGTCCTCCCAACCCTTTGAGATGACCTCACCTTGTACTATCCCTGACCTTGGCTCTGGGGTCTCCAAACCGAAGATTCTTCCTGGGCCTCAGGATGGGTCAAGCCAGTTCTTCCCCCCCCTAGCCCACCCCCTCCTCCTGCCCAACCCCTCCTGCTTGCTCATATCTTGGTTGAATGATCACTCATGTCTATTTCCAGTCTTGTCCTCTCCCCTGAGGGAACTTGGTGGACTGAAGGCCTCCACCTCAGATTCAACCCATCAAAAGGAACCCATCAGGCAGGTGTGGTGGCACATGTCTGTCATTCCGGCACTCAGGAGGCTGAGGCAGGAGGGTTGCTTCAAATTCAAGACCAGCCTGGGCTACATAGTGAGTTCAAGGCCAGCCTGAACTACACAGTGAGACCCTGTCCGGGGGTGGGGTGGGGTCCAAAACAGGTAAAACCAAAAAACGTTCATCAGCCAAGTGTGATGACATATGCCTATAATCTTGAGAAGGCTGAGGCAGGAGGATTGCAAGTGCAAGACCTCAGCAAGACCTTGCTCAGATAACAAACCCAAACCATCATCTTGCCTGAGAGGCTCCTCCTCTCCTTCCCTGACTCACTGAAAGGCCAAAGTCACCAGAGTCAGATGTCTGTGAACTACCCTTGTCCTCGGCCTCAGCCCCAGTTGGTAACTCCTGTATCCAGCCATCTGCTTGACACCTGCACTTGGAAGCCTGTGGGCATCTTCAGCTTTCAGGAGGATCCAGGGAACCTAGGAGAACAGCAGCCCATCCTTCAATCCCCTGGGGAGTCATGCTGGACCCCATTCACTGCCATCCTGGAAACTGATCCAGCTCGGTTCCTGTTACCTCTACTTTTTATTAACTTAGTTTTTTGCTTTTTTGTGTGTTTTTTTTTTTTTTTTTTTGAGATGAGGGTCTCACTACGATGCAGTTCCAGTTGACCTTTGAATTCACCGTGTAGTTCAGGCTAGCTGGCCTCAAACTCATGGCGACCCTCATGGCCACTTGATGCTGGGATGACAGGCGTGTGCCACCACGCCTGGCTCTAACGAGGCACCCTGATATATTTATGGGAGAGTGGTGTGTTTCGGATTAAGTTCAAAATAATCTAGGACGAGGGGGCTGGAGATGGACAGAGGAGAAATGAGCCTGCCCCAGCTCGATGTGGCAGAGGTGGGGTGACGGTGCCCGCAGCGGTGGTGACAGAACCTGCACTCTTCTCCTGCTGCTGCCTGAGGTTCTCCGAGGTGCACCACGGCCTGCGCATGCCTACACACACATTCATGTTCCCGTATGCAGGTGGAGAGCCCATGGCCTCCCTGGTCCAGGTCAGCACCTTCTCTTTTGCCTCCATGACTACACAAGCCTCCTAGTGAGTCGTCTGCTCCCCCACCCCCACCCCATGCACAGTCTATTTGCAACACACCAGCAGCCATCACAGTGATCCTAACGCAACACATCAGCTCTGTCATTCCTCCGCTCCGCACCTTTTGGTGACTTCCATTTCTCTCAGACCGTGAGGCAAAGTTTTCCCAGTGGCCTCACAGACTTGCTCTGGGTCCCACCCCCTTACCTCTCTAAGCTGCCATTTCTGTCCCTCCCTTGAGCCCAGCCTGTACCCCAGGGCCTTTGTACGTGTTCTTCTGGCTTCCTGTGCTCCTCCTGCCACAGATTCCTGAATGATTCTCTCCCCCTCTTCCTCAGGTCTTTGCTTAAATGAGGCCTTCTCTGACCTCTTTTCTAACACCTTCCCCTACACTTTCCCAAACTCCCCCTCCGTCACACTCCAGCATGCTGTATACATATTTAAATCACTGTTTTCCACCCCATTAGGCTATCAGCTCTACACAGACAGCTTTTTCTCCATTTTGTTCATCACCACAGGCCTTGGGCAGTGCCTGATACACAGTAGGTGCTTAGCAAATGCTGTTCGAATGGCAGAACAGATCTCTATTGATTGGCCTTTTCCAAAGGAATGGAACCAGGCCTGTCCCCTCCCTCTGGACGGAACTGTCCCCGCTATGGCCTCTGCCTCTGCCTCTGCCAGCAGTTGCCATCCCAAGCATCCACCTCCTGCTGGCACAGAGCCAGGAGCCAGGAGCGAGCTGAGGCTGGGGAAGGGCGGCTGCCTTCAGGGGAGCATTCTGGCTACACTCTGCTGTCTGAGCTGTGCCTGCTTCTCCGCTGTCTTTAGCCCTGGGGCTGAGCTGCAGGCAGGAATGCTCCTTCCCAGGCCCCTGACACAGACTCTCTGGGCCCTGCCGGAAGCAGCAGGGCCCGAGGACAGAACTGAACTGCACAGTAGTAATAGCTGCCACTCACTGTGCCCAGACAGTGCTCAGAGCTGTGCTAAGCCCGCACAGTCACCTCACAGCTGCCTGAAACCCCCCAACGACCCAAGGAGAAAGGGACTCCGGGGACCCCCGGGGTAGCTTCAGTGTACCCAAGGGTACACAGCTGGCCCTGGTTAAAGACAAGCAGTTGCCTTGCATGTAACCACCATGTATGTGACATTCATCCATCCACTCTCTCTTCATTTGAGACACTGTGTAGTTCAGACTCTGGCCTTGAACTCGCAAGGTAGCCTAGGCTGGCCTCAAACTTGCAGTGACCCTCCTGCCTCAGCCGGTGTGGCTGCAGAGGGAGTTAGGATGGCGTTGGGCTCTCCTGGCTCCTGCTGGGCGCTGTCAGATCCTCTCCCTCCTGGCATTCAGCCAATCTGTGCCAGGGAGAAGGGCCCCTGTTCCCAACTCTGGGCCGCGCTGGCCCTGTGGTCCTCTTACAGTGGAGAACACAGAGATCGGAGGAACTCCAGAGAGCTTGGGGTCTCAAGGCAAGGTAGGATGGCCTCTCCTGGCTACTGGCCCACACCAAAATCCCCCTCCGCCCCTTCTCTGTCTCTTCCCCTCTCCTCTTCTTCCTCCAGCTCCTGGCCTGGACGGTGGGAGTAATGAATCTTTAATTGCCTTTCACCTCAGGAAGGTGGGCCTTGCTACCTCCAGAGGAGGAAAACAGGAAGGGCCTGGTAGGTGGGAGCAGAGTGTGGTAAAGGAGGGAGAGCTCGGCCTCAGGGAGGGCTGGGGTCCTCGAACTGCAAGGAGGGAGAGACAGGAGGAAGGCAGAGGCGGAGGGGTGGGGGACACTGGGATGGTTCAGGCACAAGAGGCCTCAGCCTGCACACCTCCTGGGCATCCTCCCTCCAGCCAAACCCAGGCCTTCTGCCCCAGGGCCTGCTGGGAGCCCCGCCCTGCTGGGGCTCCGTCAGTCTCTGGGTGGTGGCGCAGGTGGAGAAGGGAGTCCAGAGGCCTCTCTGGAGCATGGAGGCTGGGCATGTGCTGTGCTTGATTTCAGTGCACAGCCATTCAGGGTGAGGTTCTGTGTCCTCCTGGGGACCCCTGGAGGTCAGATGTGGCACCGGCAACTGGGAGCAGGAGGTCTGGCAGTCTAAGGGTCCAATCCTGTGATCTTTTTTTGTTTGTTTGTTTTTGAGTCCCAGTCTCACTATGTAGTTTAGGCTGGCCTTGAACTCACTATGTAGCCAAGGCTAGCCTCAAACTAAAAGAAGTCCTCCTTCCTCAGCCTCCTGAGTGCTGAGAGTATAGGCACGCACCACCTTATCTGTGTATTGCCATATGATTTTTAAAGCAAGCCACTTCGGGACTCTGTACCCTGCACTCCTTGCGTGTAAAAGGAGCTAACTTCTTACACACACACAGAAGCGCCCACCACCACCACCACCAATCTGCCCTTCCCCGTTCAGGGACTAGGGTGTTGAAAGGTGTGTGGCCTGGACAGGCAGACAGGACACACAGAACTTACCAAAAACCTCATCCGCGGGGTCTCGGAGCTTGGATGAAGCCATGACTCAAGTGAGCTGAGGAGAAGGCGGGAGAAAGAAGGAAAGAAAGAGAAAGACACTAGCTAGGTGCAAGTTGGTTGGGTTAGGAGGACTGTGGGCAGCCTGCTCCTGGTCCATTGGCCTCTTCCCTGCCCCTCAAACCCTTCCCGTTGCCCCTGGAAAAGAAGCCACCTGGCTCTTCCCGAGACTGGACGGCACAGGGGCAGGAGGTTTCGGCACAAGGGCTGTGCTAGAACCAGTCCAGGGCAGAGACACAGCCCGAGTCCTGCGTGCTGGTCAGAGCCGGCCAGCTGTTTTCCTTACATGGGTCTCTCCGCCATCTTGGGCGTTTGCATCCCTACACCCCGAAAATCTTTCAGTCATCATCAGCTGTCCAACATCAAGTCTAGAGAAGTCCTGGAGATTATTAAATTCACTCTTCCCATTTTACAAGCACAGAAATAGAGGAAGCGGTGGCCAGCCCAAGACCACATGGCAGGTGAACGTCAAATACAGGATCAGAACCCAGGCTATTCCATCCCCCCATCCATTCATCCATCCACCCATCCATCCATTTACCCATCCATCCATCCATCTACCTATTTATCCATCTATCCATTCATCCATCTATCCACCCATCCACCCCTCCACCTTCCATGAATCCATCCGTCCACCCATCCAAATTCCAGCCCATCTACCCACAATCCCCCACCATCCATCCACACACCCACCTGTGCGTTTCCTGGTGCTCTAGCCATCTTCCACCTGTCCTCCAGCCCCGTCCCTCCCCTCTGCGCCCTGTCTCGCCAGGCCTTCACCACATGTGTTTCTAAACAGAAACAGTCCAGGAAGCTGGCACCACCCTCAAGGCCACTGTTCTCGGCAGATGCCCAGACACACAGACAAGAGAGGGAATGAGGAGCACTCAGAGCAAAAGAGTGGACAGTGAACTGAGGACGAGCCAGGGAGAGGTGCGCGTGGACAGGGCTGCTTTGCTATGAGCTTGGTAGGAGGGCGGGAGAGGAGGCGGGATCCAGGCAGCTAACACAATGTGAGCAGGCCGGGGGTCCTCAGGGGCTGCTGAGGGGCTGCTGAAGGGACACTCATGATGAGAGGTGCCCTCTAGTTACTTTAAAAAATTTTTTTTGTCTTTTTGAGACAGGGTCTCCCTATGCAGTTCAGGCTGGCCTTGAGCTCCCTTGGTAGCCCAGGCTGGTCTCAAACTTGCAATGATCCTCCTGCCTCAGCCTCCCAAGTGCTGGGATTACAGATGTGCATCAAATCTAGTTACTTCTGACGTTTGGTCCCCACGAGCAGGGCAGGGCCATGTCCCAGAAAATCCACCTGACAGGTTTCCTTAGGATGGGCCACGTGCCTCCCGCTCTTCCATTACTGCACAGATAGACACTTGCTGTGACTTGTCTGGCTTGGCATCTCAGCGGCCCCACTTTACAGATGCGGAAACTGAGAGGCAGAAATGAAGAAGAAGAACTCTACCCCATCCCAGTCTCCGCCTCTCAGCTCTATCTGGGGGATGATGTGCAGTTTTGAGCATGTTCTTGAGGAAAGGACGGGGTGGAGGGCAGACAGTTGACCCCTAGTGGCTAGAATTAGGGCAAGATCCCCACCATGGATCCCCAGCAGGAGCAGAAAATAAGGTGTGGGACGTACAGGGCCTCCAGAAACCCTTCCACCATTCTTGGAGACTTGTGGCCAAGATCTAAACATTCTTTCTCATCTCAAAAGACCAGATGAAAGATGTCCCTAACAAAGAACCACTTCCCATGGCTGGATTATAATGCCTTATCTGACAAGGACCTAGGTGCCACCTCCTCCAGAGAGCTGTCCTAGGTAACCCTCCCTCCTCTCATTTGTCCACAGCAACCATTTCCAATTCCATCCGTTCCCAATCACTGGAAAGTCGAGAATTTGGGGTACTTCACTGACGCCCTACATGGGTCTTCTCTCTCCGAGGACAGGGACCCCCATGAAGTTAGGAACTGCCTCTCATGTGGAATGGAGGCTCTCCATGGGCAGCCATGTGCTCCTGTCTTAGACCCTGAGAATGGCCAGTCCTATGTCCTTCATCCAGGGCCCGGTGTGGCCCTGAGACCTGCTCCTGCTCGCCCCGTGGAAGGGGCCTGCTGCTCCCACCCGTGCCTGAGCCATCCTGATTCAGCACAAACTGAATCTCCTCCTCCCAACAGCCAGCTCCTTTCTGTGTGCCTGGGGGAACCCTGCCTCCACTGTCCCATGGGGAACTCTAGGAAGAACACCCCACCCCTGCCACCCAAAAACTAGCCAACCCACCCCTTTCTCCCATTGCCACACACACACACACACACACACACACACACACACACACACACACAGAGTTGGGGGGTGGTATCAGTGACTTCTGACCCTCTCTGGGCCAGAGGGAGGCAGGTGAGCTCAAAGCTAGCTGGGACCCAAAGGAAGGAAGTGAGCGAGGCCACAGGAGCAGGCTCCAACGGCCACCAGACGCTGGCTGGGGTAGCACCGAGCAGAGGGGCTGGAGTGCAGGAGGGCAGAGGAGGGAAAACCGCTGCCCCGTAGCAAGAGGAAAGAAAGGGGCCCAGCCAGGGAGGGGGAGGGAGCGAGTGTAACCGGGAAAGGCAGGCGGGGAGGGGGCAGGCGGGACGGGCAGCAGTTGTAGGTTGGGGAGGCGGTGCCTCTCCCCAGGGCTGCTGGCGCCGGACACCCTGTCGAAGACCCCTGGAGAGGGAGTGAGGTGGCGGACGGACCCCCGTCCACCCTGGGGCCCCCTCCCCTCCAACACAGAGGGTGACCGGTTTCCAACCCCGCCAGTCCAACTCCGCGCCGGGCAAGGAGGAGTTAAGCCCCGTCCCCTTCCCCCACACCAGTTTTTTATTAATTTCCCCGATCGAGGGAGGGGATTAGGGACACAAATCCTATCTCTGCGCCCCCCCCCCCCGCCGACAGCCCAGCTCCCCAGCCTGTGCCGCCTAGGGATCTGGAAGAAAGGCCCCTGTCGCTTGGCCCATCCAAGCCCACGGGGTCCCGCTCCCCCGTGAACCCCTTACCTCCAGCCTGGGTCATCTTCAGCGTCCGGCGCCTCGGGAACCCCTCAGGCCCATGATGCTCAAGGCGGGGCCCGACGGGAGGAGGCGGGGGCCGTCACCCCGGCCGCGGGGGGCTGCCGGCTGGCTCGAGCCGCTCCATGCCGGGTGGGGGTGGGGCTTGCCGGAGGGTCCCGGAGCTGAGCGCGGGGGACCGGACGGGGACGCGGGCGAAGGTTTGCGGGAAGGAAGCAGGAGGCGCGGGCGGGGCTGCACCGGAGACCTGACGGGAGGATGCTCAGTGCGTGCGTGCGTGCGCGCGTGTGTGCGGGTGCGCGTGTGTGTATGTGTGTGCGCGTGTGTGTGCAAGAGCGGGAGGGAGCACGCGAACGCCACCTCCCGCCCCGCCCCCGCGATCCCCGCCCGCCAGGCGGATGCGCGCAGCGTCGCGTCCGTGGATCTGCGGGGGTCCCCTGTTCGGTGAGGGGGCGGCGGCGGGGAGGCCCAGCGCCCGGGAGACAAAGAGCGGGGGAGGGGAAAGAGGGGCGGGAGGTGGAGGGTGTGCGGCCCAGCCCGGACCGAGGCGACGCTAGTTCTGGGACCACAGAGACGCTGTGTCCCGAGTCTATTCGAGTAGGTTGCGGGGAGGCCCGGCAGGCGACCCCATCTTGGGACCCGCGAGGCTTCCGCCTTCTCTGCAGGATCTGCTAGGTCTCTCCATTCATTCATTCAACCAATACGCACGGAGACGCCAGCTAGGGTGCCCAGGATGGAGTCGGTCGCGGGGAGGGGTGCAGACAAGCAAGGAGCCGCAGATTCACACCGGACGCTTAGCTGGGAGGTCTCCTTGTAAAGCTGGTGCGTGGCTCCCCTGGCCGTGGCCTTGGGGGTGCCAGTGAGGTTTGCACTACTTTACCAACGTGGGGGAGGCGGTGAGGGGGGGCAGTTTAAACAAGAAAAGTTTACCCAAGGAGGGAGGCGCTTGGATCTGCATTTAGGAAGAACCGGGGCTCCTGGCTGGGGAACAGATTGCATGCACAGCTTAGGCCACAAGCAGGGGGTCCCCACAGGAGACTGAGAGGACTCAGGGAGCTGAAGATTGGAGATCAGACTGAGCTATGCAAGAAATTGACAGCGTGTGAGGGCCAGCTGGACAAAGAATGGCGAGAAGGAGAGTCCAGGGTGGAGGTGGGTCTTGGCTGGCTGCAGGGAGCCCTGCAGCTGAGTGGGGGTGGGCATGATGAGCTCAGACTTGGACGGGTGGCAGGCCAGCCAGGGGCGATCATGTCATCACCAACAGCCAGCTACCTCCGGCAGGGCGGCAAGGGCTGGCAGGGCCAGGAAGGAATGTGCCACCACAGTGCTGCCCAGGGTACCTAGTGTCAGCGCTGTCACCCTGGAGGTAAGTGGTTCTCTTACCTCCCACCCCTGCCCTGTAGAAACCAGAGACTGAGAGAAGGCAAGCTGGGTTGTTCAGGAGGAAGTATGAAATGAGAGGCTCTAGGGCTCTGGGGAGGGTCATGCAGGGATCAAGGCTTCCAGACAGCCCAGGGAACCTACAGGCCAAGGGCTGTGAAGAGTGGCCTGCTGAGCAAGCCGGACCCTGGGAGTGTGGGTGAAGGCCAGCAGCCAAGGGTAGGTATCCCGTGAGATCGCTGAGATGGGGGGGGGGGTTCTGGCCGGACTCAGGACCTGGAAATGGGTTGGTGACAACCATCAAGGTTATGTCTGGAATCTTTCAAGATGCTGTGTTTTGTGGGATGTGGTGGCACACACCTGTAACCCCAGCTTCTTGGGTGTCCATAGCAGGATTGCAAGTTTGAGCCCAGGCCAGGCAACATACTCAGATCTTATCTCAACATAAAACTTAAAAAAAGAGCGGGGATTGAAGGGTAGCTCTGTGGTAGAACACTTGCCCTTAGCATTTGCTCGTGTGTTCCACCCCTCATACCACAAATAAATAAATGTTTTAAAAAGAGGATGTGGTTTGCAGGCATCTGCTGAGCCTTAGGAGTGGGCTGGATTCTGTAGCTCCCAAGGGGTTGGGGGTGATGGGCTGTAAAGTCAGTGACAGGCAGAGGAGGGTGGGGGGCTAGATGTTTGCTAGGAAATGGAAGGACCCCGTTCCTAGAGGAAGCCAAGCTCCCGGGAGCTTAGAAATCCCACTTATCTGATTCTTCTCCTGTAAGGCAAGTGTTGGGAAACCTGCCCAAGCTCCAGGTGATGTGGGGAGGGGACAGGAACAGGGACTGGGATGGGTCTGGGAAGCTTAAGTGACAATCGTCATGCAGACTGAGAAACATCCAGCAAAGCTATCCCCAGCAGCCCCAGCCACATAACACGCTCTGGCTTAGCCATGAGGGACCACTTGGCCCATCTTCCAAGACATATGTGCAAGGCCACTCCCCTAGGATACAGAACAGCTGGGGACACAGGACTCTGCCTAGATGGCAGCAGAATCCTCAGTCCATGTCTACCTCCTCACTCAGCAAGGCCCACATCTCCACACCCCTGACTAATCTATGGGTCTGGCCGGCTACCATCATGGGCTTAGCACCTGATCTGTCTTCGGCGCCCCCAAGTGCTCCAAGGATGATTCACTGGCATGGTCCCTGACCCCAGGTCTCTGGGTGACCCTCAGGTGCATGGCAGGACTGAACAGCTCCCACATAACCCTGAGGTGTGGATCTAGGCTGGGGGTTGGGTGCATGGGAAGCCAGACTTTGGCCTGGGATGAAAGGGACCTGTGTGACAGCCTATTGTCACTGGAGTTGGGGTAGAGGCTGTTCATCTTGGGGGTGTTAGGAACCTAGGGTGACCCCAAAAGGTCCTGAAGCTGGGACTTTGGGTCCTTTAAGGCAAAGGGAGGGGAAAGCATTTGTCTGGGGCTGAGGCCCAGGACCCCAGCTTGCTGATTCAGTCCTGAGTAAGCACCAGGCACCTGGGCACTGCTGCAGCTTCTGCACGCCCTATGCCTCACCTCTGACCCATCAGCTGGTCCTGAGCGCAGGCCTCAGCCCCAGACCATTTAGCGTGGGGCAGTGGCCAGAGTTACTGCACAGAGCAAGGGGCAAGATCTGCTTAAGGCCTCTTAGAGGTGCCCCCAGAGATATAGCCGGGTAGAGCGCTCAGGATAATGCCGCCCTGCCTCCCTCCCCACCCAGGAAACCTTCCTTCTCCTTAACCTTCTGGAACACTTCACCGGTGCAGTTCTCCCTGAGGGAGGGGGGGGGGGGGCTTGGGGTTCACTTCCCGATCCAACCCATCCCTTAGCTCCTCATGAGGTCTTGCAAAACCCTCCTAAGAAAACGGACTGTCTAGAAACCTGAACCGCACAGACAGCTCGGGCGCTGCGTAGGGCTTGCAGGCAGCAGAGAGGGAGTCTGCTGGGGACCAGGGACAGAGGACCCCACAGAAACATCTCTGGGGTCAGGCAGCCTTGAACCCTCCTGCTCCCACCAATCAAGAAACCAGGCACTGAGGCTTTGGGGCTGCATTTATGGGGATGACCTGACAGAGGGTATGGTCCGTACAAAACCGGGAACAATACATACATATATATATTATATACAGAGACGGGGTCCTCCGAGGGCGGGGCAGGGGCGGCCGCGGGCCGGGAAGCCGGAAGTGCCCGCAGCCCCGCCCCTCCATCTGCCCGGGAGAAGCGCGTGGGCGGGGCACCGAGGCGGCCAGCACTTTGGGGTTGGGGAAGTGGGGGGGCAGGGACGGGCATTACTGATCTAAGGCGTGGTCTATTTACAGGGACAAGAAGCTGAAACGAATGGTACAGGGTCGATTTCTTTTTTTAAAAATGAACCCAAACCCAGGGCTGGGCAGAGGCAAGGAAGTGGCCAAAATGGATTTTATAGGGGAGGGGGAGGCGTCTCACCTCCCTTGGTCCAAGCCCTAATTTGGGATTAAAATGGGTAAGTCGACTTCACTTAGAAAGCAGGCAGCCACCAGGGGGCAGCCCTGGTCTCCAGAAAGATGAGAAGTAAAATTTTGCCCACGGTCAAAATTTAGGAAAAAAAACGGTGTGGGCGGGGGTCGGAGGTTGGTGGAGGCTGAAATCTCTGCGATGTTCGCACAGGGCTTCCGAGTGTGGCCTGGGTATAGGTAGGGCACGGCGGGCCTGGCTGCTGCCAAGGACCAGCCCCCCACCCCAAGCTGACCCCCTTTCCTCCCTGGCATTCCCAGGCTCAGCCAGAACCCCCGGACCCCACGGACAGGCGGCCGAACAGTTCCAGGAGGAAGTTATGGCTATTTGGCACCTGGAGAGGGGAGGAACGGGGAGTCAGGGGCTGCTGCCCTTTCCAGGGAGGAGGAGCTGGGGACCAGGTGTCCTGGACTCTCTCCTTTCCTACTCTCACCCCGCCTTTTCCAGAAGGAAGGGTCCAGGGGAAATCCGTGCAGGGCCAGGCCGGCCCCGGGGCTGTGGGGTGGACTCTATCCCTCCTGGGATAGGGAGCAGGGACGGGAGGTGTCAAGGCAGCACCCCAACCCAAGCGGGAGGGCCGGAATGCGACAGACAGCACGATGATGATAGGGTACAGGGGGGGCCACGAAGGCAAAATCTCAAGTCAAGAGACCCAAGGGTCACCCAGGAGCCCCGCGGGCAGGGAGCAGCCTCCAGTTGGTGAGACGCTGGGGAGCCCCAGCCCCACTCCAGTCCAGAGACGAAGGCTGGAGGTTGTAGAGTCTGGCAGTTTGGTCTGCAGGTCCTTTGCGTCCATCTGCCACCCAGGCCAGCCCTTGGCTTCTCTCGGCCTTTGTGCCTCAGCCCCATGGGGCAAAAAGGAGGCCGCCCTTCCAGCCACCACTGTCTGCCTGGGCCACCTGAAGGGGGGCCTGTGAGATGGGCCCTCTGGTCCCTGAAGCTGGGGGAGGTGGGGTGGAGGGGTGGGGGAGTCGGGGCACCTGTCCCCAGCCTGGTAGGGGGTGGGGTGGGAATTGAGGACAGGGGAGCGAGGACAGAGGGAGGGGCTTATTATTGTCCAGTCAAGGAATGATTCCGTTAAGTAGAGTTGGAATTCCTCAGTGTTTGCAGGTTGCCTTCCAGTTCTGAGATCTGGGAAAACAAAGTCAGAGAAGCAGCGTTGCAGGCCCTGGTCCCCACGCAGGCCCTGGCCAGCTGCTGCTCCCTTCCACTCCCCATCCCAGGTCCCGTGTGTGGTGTTAGCAGGGGGATGCTACGCTGCCTCCTTTGAGGGCCCTGACCCCAGTCCCCCTGGTCCCACCTTGTCCAGGAGTTTGTCCATTTCCTCCTTCCGGGCCAGCTCCGACTCCTCCAGGACTCGCCGCTGTGCCGTCTCCTTCTTCAGGAACTCAATCTCCCTGGAACGGGCAAGGCGGATGGTAGGTTGGACAGTGTGGCTGGGCTTTCACTTGGGGAGACTTGGAGTCCCCAGC